TTGGATGCCGGTGAGTCGTGCTCCGGCCGGTGTGGGCACATCACGGCGTCTCGATTAGGCTGACCGAGAATCTAAGCATCAGCCAGCCCGGCCGGGTCTCAGATCTCCCGTTCGTGGTCACCCCGGATAATTCTCTTACTGCGGGCAGAGGTGTAACTGTAAGGCATGGCAGAGTAAGCTTTGAAGGGGAGTATTCATGGTCAACGCCGGCTCCGTCATTGGGTGCCAGAGCCAGAGGAGCCCAATTCGCAGCCATGGGCGGCGGGTTGTAGTGGTGATCGTTGATCTCACCACCTTTGCGGTGCACCGGGGTGGGCTGTTTTAGGTACAGTGCGGTGCACGGTGGAAACATGAAGCCAAGCGAGGGCGGGGTGGGTAGTTCTGATTGTTTAGATAAGCAGGGAGAGAGCTTTGGTCTTCTCTCTTGCATTTTACGGAAGGTACCTTGGCATGCTTAGCTAAGGTTTCCTCGATCAAAGAGTCTTGGATAGCTAGCTGCGTGTGCCCGAGCAACAGGAGCTTTGTCTAATTCAAACAAGACGTGTGTCAAATGTGCGTCCAGCAACAGCTCGAATGGTAGCAGTTGAGACGATTCGGCGGGGGTTGTCTGGGCTCGATGTACTACGTACCTACCTTACATAAGGTACCTTGGGTGGTGGTGAGGTTCTGGTGCGGGAGGGGAGGGTTACTGCCCTTTCTCGCATAAGGGAAGGCATGCTGCCCCTCCTTGCACAGACCGGGCGAGGTGCCCAGGAACTCGAGATCCGGAGGCCGGAGCAAGACAGATAGTGTAATGTGCTGACGGGGAAGGCTGTTGCTGTGGCACCCGGTACCTTGCCTTGGGTAAGGAAGCAAAAGATAAGTCACTGCAGACATGACAGGCAGTGAGATGAGTGGCGCCACGATTGGTACTGAGAAAAGAGGCTGCCAGTCTGCGAATAATAATTAAGTGGTCGACGAGAGGATAATTGGATGGACCAAGGTACCTTACAGTGCGTAGAAAGAGGGGCACCCAAACAGCCCCTCCAAAGTGTGTGCCGTGCCTGCCCAAAATGCTTTGCAGCTGCTATGGTTGGAGAGGGGAAGGGCGAAAAAACCAGGAAGGAGGGACCTCGCGAGTGGCGGGGTTTTTTTTTCTCTCACACTTCTTTTGCTGGTGCCCCACCTAACCCATTTTTTCCCATCCGGCGGGCCAGTCACTAACTTTTTTTTTTTTTTTCACCTTCGGGGCAACGCCTGCCTCACACGGCCAAGGCAAGGCGAGGGACGCACCGGTTCCCTTTTTTTTCCATTCCTTCCCCCTCCCACCTTTTCCCTTTTCCTACCCTCCCCCCCCTCCATCCCATTCACCTTTTCGACGATAAAAGAATCGGTAGAGGAGCTCATCAGTTCCCCTGTCGTTTCCTGGAACCGTCGACTTTTCAACCTTTCGAGGCATCCCTCACATCTTCATCTGTCTTCCTTCTTCTCTCAAGCAGAGAAAAGGATTCAGCACTCTGTGAGCGCGGGGCAGATTCTTCAACCCCGCTTCGCCCAACTTCGACTCTACACAAATTTCAAAGAGCTCGCTGAGCCACCGCCGTCAAGATGGTCAAGTAAGTCCCATTCACCACAACACATTCCTTCTATTCCGAGCACAAACAACATCGACAACACCTGCTTCCGCATCATGAGATGTCTACTCATCATCACCATGGAGCAATGCTTGCACTGCTGCGAAGCTTTCTTTCCCCGATGCTTTGCTGAGCGATCGCCTCTACCCCGCCCCTCACCTCACCTCACCTCACTTTGACCTTTCTCTCCCCTCTTCCCCTTCGGAGTTAAGCTCCCACTCAACCCAAAAGATACTAACCATGGCTCTCACCACAGCTTCACCGTCGAGGAGATCCGTGGGCTCATGGACAAGCCCACCAACGTCCGTAACATGTCCGTCATTGCCCACGTCGATCACGGAAAGTCCACCCTCACCGACTCCCTTCTCTCCAAGGCCGGTATCATCTCCACCGCCAAGGCCGGAGATGCGAGAGCCACGGATACCCGTGCCGACGAGCAGGAGCGTGGTATTACCATCAAGTCTACCGCCATCTCTCTGTACCACAACGTCGACCCCGACGATGTCAAGGACATTGTTGGCCAGAAGACCGACGGCACCGACTTCCTCATCAACCTGATCGACTCCCCCGGTCACGTTGATTTCTCTTCCGAAGTCACTGCTGCTCTCCGTGTCACCGACGGTGCTCTCGTCGTCGTCGACACCGTCGAGGGTGTCTGCGTCCAGACCGAGACTGTCCTGCGTCAGGCCCTCGGTGAGCGCATCAAGCCCGTCGTCATCATCAACAAGGTCGACCGTGCTCTTCTCGAGCTTCAGGTCTCCAAGGAGGATCTGTACCAGTCCTTCTCCCGTACCATTGAGTCCGTCAACGTCATCATCTCCACCTACTTTGACAAGTCGCTCGGTGACGTCCAGGTCTACCCCGACAAGGGTACCATCGCCTTCGGTTCCGGTCTTCACGGCTGGGCCTTCACCATCCGCCAGTTCGCCGTTCGCTACGCCAAGAAGTTTGGTGTCGACCGCAACAAGATGATGGAGCGTCTCTGGGGCGACAACTACTTCAACCCCCACACCAAGAAGTGGACTACCAAGAGCTCCCACGAGGGCAAGCAGCTCGAGCGTGCCTTCAACCAGTTCATCTTGGACCCCATCTTCAAGATCTTCTCCGCCGTCATGAACTTCAAGAAGGAGGAGGTCGCCACTCTTCTCCAGAAGCTCGACCTCAAGCTCCCCGTTGAGGACCGCGAGAAGGAGGGCAAGCAGCTCCTCAAGGCCGTCATGCGCACTTTCCTCCCCGCCGCCGACGCCCTTCTCGAGATGATGATTCTCCACCTTCCCTCCCCCGTCACCGCCCAGAAGTACCGTGCCGAGACTCTGTACGAGGGTCCCCCCGACGATGAGGCCGCCATTGCCATCCGCGACTGCGATGCCAAGGGTCCCCTCATGCTCTACGTCTCCAAGATGGTTCCCACCTCCGACAAGGGTCGCTTCTACGCCTTCGGTCGTGTCTTTGCCGGTACCGTCAAGTCCGGTATCAAGGTCCGCATCCAGGGCCCCAACTACACCCCCGGCAAGAAGGAGGACCTCTTCATCAAGGCTATCCAGCGTACCGTCCTCATGATGGGTGGCAAGGTCGAGGCCATCGACGACATGCCTGCCGGTAACATTGTCGGTCTCGTTGGTATTGACCAGTTCCTCCTCAAGTCTGGTACTCTCACCACCTCCGACACCGCCCACAACCTCAAGGTCATGAAGTTCTCCGTCTCCCCCGTCGTCCAGCGCTCCGTCCAGGTCAAGAATGCCCAGGATCTCCCCAAGCTCGTCGAGGGTCTCAAGCGTCTCTCCAAGTCCGACCCCTGTGTCCTGACCATGACCTCCGAGTCTGGTGAGCACATTGTCGCCGGTGCCGGTGAGCTCCACTTGGAGATTTGCCTGAACGATCTCATGAACGACCACGCCGGTGTTCCCCTCATCATCTCCGACCCCGTCGTCCAGTACCGTGAGACCGTTGTTGGCAAGTCCAGCATCACCGCTCTCTCCAAGTCGCCCAACAAGCACAACCGTATCTACATGATTGCTGAGCCCATTGACGAGGAGCTCTCCAAGGAGATCGAGGCCGGCAAGATCAGCCCCCGTGACGATTTCAAGGCCCGCGCCCGTGTCCTCGCTGACGACTTCGGCTGGGATGTCACTGACGCCCGTAAGATCTGGACTTTCGGTCCCGACACCACTGGCGCCAACTTGCTCGTCGACCAGACCAAGGCCGTCCAGTACCTCAACGAAATCAAGGACTCCGTCGTCTCTGGTTTCCAGTGGGCCACCCGCGAGGGTCCCGTTGCCGAGGAGCCCATGCGTTCCGTCCGCTGGAACATCATGGATGTCACCCTCCACGCCGATGCCATTCACCGTGGTGGTGGCCAGATCATCCCCACCTCCCGCCGTGTCCTGTACGCCGCCGCCCTTCTCGCCGAGCCCGCTCTTCTCGAGCCCGTCTTCTTGGTCGAGATCCAGGTTCCCGAGCAGGCCATGGGTGGTGTCTACGGTGTCCTCACCCGCAGACGTGGACACGTCTTCGGTGAGGAGCAGCGCCCCGGTACCCCTCTGTTCACCATCAAGGCCTACCTGCCCGTCATGGAGTCCTTCGGCTTCAACAGTGACTTGCGCCAGGCCACCTCCGGACAGGCCTTCCCCCAGTCCGTCTTTGACCACTGGCAGCCCTTGCCCGGTGGCTCTCCTCTCGACGGCACCTCCAAGGTCGGCCAGATCGTCCAGGAGATGCGTAAGCGCAAGGGTCTCAAGGTTGAGGTTCCCGGTGTTGAGAACGTGAGTTTTTCGTATAACCCCCCATGACTGAATGATGCTAACCAGTTGCAGTACTACGACAAGTTGTAAACGCCTTTCTCACGGGTTAATAGAAAATGGCGTTGTGCCTTTTTGGGCATTTATGACGAACTGGGTTTGGTGGATGATATCAAAAATTATGACCCCGTTCTTTCCATAGCTTTCGCGTAGTCTCGAATGAAGACAAAGTTCAATATGTAAACACTGTCGTGATTGTGGTGATTATGTGGCGCCTGAGCATAAGCTTCAAAAACTTGAATATCTGATATAAGTGTTCCAAGGCAAGGACTCCGAATCTGCAGCGGGCATCCGCAGCGGACAGCCGCAGCGACGCCGACCCGGGCACGGATTCCACTTAGGTTTAAAGTGGGTCGGATTAGCGAGCTGTGCAAATAAAAGCTTTCAGCCTCGTTCCGACAAAGCTCCTTCTCTCAACAACCTCTCCCACCACTGGGCAAATTTTTGTTTGTTCGCGTGGCTTTCCGCCGAGCAACAACAATGACTCCAACCTGTTCATACATTACTTGAGTATCAGACTTATTGATACGTCAACTTCTTTTCTCATTCTTGAACCCCATGGTCTGGCGCGACTCGCACTGCAACGACAATGTTTCTAGCAGAGGAGGATGCGCCCTTGCTCAGGACGTGGCTCCTGAGCAAGCTGCCTGAAGTGTTTGTCTCCCCGGTAACCTCTCGTCATTCAATTGCTCTTGCTGACAATTGCTCTCTGCAGATCGGATACAGAGACAGACATCTTGGCCGACTATGTCCTTGCTCTTCTCGCCTCGCAGGAAGGCGACGCTGCGCACATTCGTGCGGCATGCGAAAGCGAATTGCCGCAGTTCCTCAACACAGGTTAGTCCAGTCACAGTGCGCATTGACGACGCGTCTGCTACAGCTCTTGCTGATGAATCAAACCACAGACACCGCGCCCGAGTTTGTTGACGAGTTGTTCCGCGTCATCGAGTACAAGTCGTTTCTCCCAGGCGCGCCTCCCGCGCCCAAGAAACGAATAGAGGCAGACGATCACGCGGCGGCCTCGGATTTGCCGTCTCAGGGTGGTTCGCGAAAGCGCTCATTCAATGAGAGCGGCGCGTCGGGCGATAGGGATGCAGACTTCGAGGAGCGCGCGTACAAGCAGCCTCGTCGGGGTCAATGGGACTCGACCGCCTCGGGTGCGGGAGGGTACGCTGCGCAGCCGTTCCCTGCGGATGGCTCGTTCCAGCTGTCGGCCACGGCAGCGCCGTACGACCCAAATTTCCCGCGGGGTGCTCCGACTGGACCCCAGAATTGGCGCGGGATGCCTCCAATGCCGCCGGCCTACCCTCAGGGCGCCCCGCCTCAAGGCCCACGAAGAAACAGGCAGAAATGCCGCGACTTCGCGACCAAGGGATACTGCGCTCGCGGAAACTCGTGCCAGTATGACCACGGCGTCGAGCCCATCTGGTTGCCGCCCAGCGGTCCCAGTGTGCCTAAATTCGAGGGTGAGTTCATATACGTTTGTCTATCACACATCCCCCGTAGCATGATGAGTATTCCATCCGAGCATTTATGCGATGACTTTTACAAAAAATTATAAGGTTGACTACTGAAAGCTACACAACTCTCTACCACTTTTGTCATTCAAAATGTTGTACAAGACTCAAACTGACACAATGGCACAGACTTTGATCCCCGAGACGCGGCCATGATGATGTCGCAAAACTTTCAACAAATGCAGCAGCTCATGGAGGCATTCAACGCTGAGAGATCCAGTCGGGAGGGTCGCAAGAATCGCCGTGCTACTAGAGGCAAACGGCGTCAGAACAGAGCCTCCTTCTCCGCTGAGGGTCCCGTCGAGGATACAACAAAGACGACCATTGTCGTGGAGAACATCCCCGAGGAGCACTTATCTGAGGAGGCTGTTCGCAAGTTCTTCTCTGAGTTTGGCAACATTCAAGAGGTCACACTGCAGCCTCACAAGCGGCTTGCAACCGTCACGTATGACACGTGGGATTCTGCCAATGCGGCATACCGGTCTCCCAAGGTCATCTTTGACAACCGCTTCGTACGAGTCTTTTGGTTCGTCGAAGAGAGCGAGCAGGCTGCTGCACGTGCTGCTGCCAACGGCGAAGGCCAAGACGCCGAGCCCGAGATTGATCTGGAGGAGTTTATGAAGAAACAAGAAGAGGCCCAGCGGCAGCACGATGAAAAGATGCAAAAGAAGGCCGAGCTAGACAAGCAACGCCAGGAACTGGAGCAGCGGCAACGCGAACTGCTCGCCCAGCACCGCGAGGTACAGCAGAAGCTTCAAGCCAAGCTAGCCTCGAAGAATGGCGATGGAGGGGAGAATGGGGAAGAGGGCTCGTTGAACTCGGCCCTTCGCGCGCAACTCGCGGCTCTCGAAGACGAGGCTAAGCTCCTCGGCCTCGACCCGAGCGCGACAGATGAGCCGGCGTGGCATGCGAGCTCTCGCGGCCGTGGTCGCGGCAGAGGCGGCTTTGTCCCGCGTGGCCGTGGCTTCGCTCCTCGAGGAAGGGGATCATACCGCGGCGGTGGGTACAGAGGCGACGTCCACGCTGCGTACGCCGCGTACTCGCTCGACAACCGGCCCCGGACTGTGTCCGTCACGGGCGTGGATTTTACTTCGTCTGAGAAGGACGAGGTGCTTCGGCAGTACCTTCTCGCCGTCGGTGAATTCACAGAGATCAACACCACCCCGTCCAAGACCGAAGTCACTTTTAAGGACCGCAAGACGGCCGAGAAGTTCTTTTACGGTCTCCCCAAGCAGGAGGTCCCGAGTATTGATGGTCAACTCGAGCTGTCGTGGGTCGCCACACCCCTAGCGCCCGTCAAGGCTGTCGAGAATAGTGCGTCGTCAAAGACCCAGGGCGCGTCTGACCATGATATGGCCATGGGCAACGCCGCACCTAACGGGTCGTCGACGGCACGTGACCTGGTGGAGCAGCAGCCGGAACAGCAGCGGGAGATGGACTATGATGTGGCGGATGATGATGACTGGGGTGTTGAGTAGAGGGCCGAAGCGGCACGTTACCGCTAGAATTGATACCAAAGATTTGATACCCCCAATGAGGTTTGTGTTGTATACGTGATGTATTCATGGTAAGTGCCCGTAAGTGATGTTGCGGTCGTTGGCGTACGTGATGTCTTGAGTGATTCATGCTGAACTAGATAAAGGGCCATCCTCTGCTGTTTATTTGATCACTGGGTATTGCTCTCCGCTCAGAATATTGCTCTTACCATCTCAGACTTACTGAGGTCCATCGACTCTGATGTGAAGGGTGACGAACTCCAGGATGTCGGGGCTTTGGGCTCAGCCTGGGATGTATGCTTGCTAGGGTGCGAAAGCGGGAACGTAAAGTAAACCCATGAGCTGAATTCATGTATGCAGACGCATAGAGTCAAGGCGCTGATTTCAAGAATCAAGACTTTGCCTACTGTTTCAGCTCTTGAAATGAGGAACATTGTTGGCCGGCATTGTAACGAGAACGATGTTTCCCCTCTCTATCACTCCTCTTTTTGCTCTGCGTTTACTGGAAACTGTCTTTCCATCGTCTGTGCCTCGTACCATGGTCAAGAATCATTGAAAAAAGTTTTTCTATTATCCTTTTTCCATGGCTACGGCGGATGTCGGGCATGGACAACAAAACATGGCAGGACACCAACACAAACACGAACGGCATCGCGCGGGTGGGACGACGCCGGGTCAAGTGCCAGCGCAGACAAGGGTGGATCTGACGACGGATAAGGGGTCAATAAGGGAAGATGTTGGTCCTGGGTGGGTTTTCCTCTGGCGGGATGCATGAAGCAAGGGTCGGCATATCGGTCTAGGAAACTCAAGCCATGGCCCATGATGGAGTGAATCTCTCACCAGGCAGAGAAGCAGAACGAGGATGGCCGTTGCTCGCTAAAGTTGGGGACTCGGGGCAGCTGACCAGAGTACCCCGGGCCCTAACCTGAACTGCCTTAGCACGCCGGCGGCCCTGCTGCACTGCACTGGTGTGCTGGGGCCCGCCCTCTGCCAGCCCCGACGAACGACAGCTGCGTGTTCCCTCCAAACTAGGTACCTTGGGTGCTTAGGTCCCCTGTGGCCTGTACTTGGGTAGTATTCAGGTGGTGTAGCTGCACTTGGACGGATTGCATTGCATGTCACTGACCGCAACTCCAACCTCTTCATTCTCTGTCTGTGTCTGTACAGAATACTTTTACCTTCTTGTCCTACCTTCATTAGCGGTGGTTCTGTCTCTCTTCTTAGACAGCCTCATTTCTCGTACGACGCCAGTGAAGCACGCCGGAAGCACCGGTGCCCTTGCTTGACTCAGAAACCTACCTTACCGTCGTGTATCCATCAAGGCCAGGGACAGGGAGCGAAATCGGAAGTGTCACTGGGGCCGAAGCGGTGCTACTTATGACGTCCTACCGGGGGCCCGTTTGTTAAAGAATAATTAACCCGGTGACTAACACCGCGAATCCAAAATCACCCGACAAAGACGCACCACCTTTGGCTCCATACAAACTACAAACCAACAAGAACAGCAGAGCAGACAACACGGGAGGCATGATCGGCTTCCTCTCGACCGCCGCCAACATTGCGAACCCGACTCCAGATCTGGGCCACAGCCGTGCTGTGGTTCAGACCTTGATCAAACCATGCCCATCTTCCAGGACGATCTCGAACATCACCACCATCGCCGTCCGTCCGTAGCCGAGACCACCACGGCCGCGGCGCCAGAAACACCACATCCACCCATACCCCAACACCGACCGTCGCCGATGAGAAGACTCTCCGAAGAGAGCATACGAACCGAGCTATGCGAAGGCCCCATTGTCGAAAGCCCGACGAGGCCGTCAACACCCGAGACCGACACCGACGCCGACGCCGCCACCGCCGCCGTCACCTCTGACAGGGCCGAGCTGATTGAGCGGCTGAAGCGCGGGGAGAGTCCGACGTGGATTCCGAACCGTCGCGTAGCATCCCCCAGGAACGATCTTGTGGCTCACAACATTACCAAGCTCGAGTCGCTCTTCAACAACCTGCCCCGCCCGAGCACGCCGCAGAGCCCCCGGCCGCCCTCGAGCTCGTCTAGTCTCCTACCGCCCGCGAGCATCACCCCGGACAGAGCAGCCGCCGACGGCTCGCGAGAGGAGGATGAGCGGTTGCGCGAGGGGTTGAGCATACAGAGGCCGCGGTCTGCTCTGCACAGCGGCGATTTCACAGAGGACCATCAGCCGAGGCCGCGGTCGCAGCACGAAAAGCAACAGACGGCGCAAGAGCAGGAGACGCACGGCGCAACCAACAAGTTCTTGGCTTCGCGCAATTCATGGCTCGCAACGTCACCACCGCGGGACTTTTCCCCGTTTCAGTTCGAGACGAGGTTGCCGTTTCCGGCGACGAATGACGACTACCGATCCGTCCCGTCCTCCTTGTCCTCCTCCTTCTCATCCAGCTTCGTGTACAAGCCGCCGACGAGCCCGCTGGTCCAGTCCGAGAGCAACGACCAAATCGACCTGTCTGCGCCGCTAAACAGCATCGCAATTACCCCGGGATCCCCAAGCTTCGTGGGCCCCTCGCGCCGACACACCCTGAACTCGGTCACATCGTCTCCCTTTGCGTTCCCCTCGCCTGGCCATGCTGCGATTCACAGACAGTCCTCGCACCGCGGCTCAGCGGCATTGCCGTACCAGGCACACCAGCCGCGGCGCTCCCTCACGTCGATCCCGCAGGTGCCGCTCCCTGGGGGCTCCTCGCCGCAGACGCCAGCGGCGTTTCTGAGACCCAGGCGGCCGTCGTTCAACTCGGACACGTCCCCCTTGCAGCACGCTTCCATGGTCGGGTCGTACGAGGAGAGCATCCTCCGCGGCCGCATGTCCACGACGCCGTCGAAGCCGCTCGACTTTCTCGCGCAAATTGGCGTGCTGGGGCTGGGCAAATGTAAGTCTAGTCTGAGGTGCCCCGCCCATGTGACCCTGCCGTTCCCCGCCGTGTTCTACAGCTACGGGGGAGCTTCACAAGGGCGTGTGCGGTCAGAAGACGGGCCGAGTCCGTACGTCGGCCAGATTGACCTGGAAAACGGTCTACCCAACCCCGAAGAAGGGCAGCGGTCCAAGAGAAAGATGCAGAGCAGGTACGTCGAGAAACGAATCGCGGAAGACGACGTTCTCATGGCGGACGGGCCCGCGCTGGCGGCGGACGGGTCCTCGGATCGTGAGGCGCGCCGAGCCGCGCAGCGGGCCAGACGGAGATCGGCATCCCCGAGAGCGCCGCCTGGCGGGAGCTATCGCATCCCCGAAAAGGGCCAGATCCAAATCATCATCAAGAACCCCAACAAGACGGCGGTGAAGCTGTTTCTGGTGCCCTACGACCTCGCCGGCATGGAACCCGGGACCAAGACGTTTATCCGGCAGCGAAGCTACTCGGCGGGTCCCATCATGGAGACGAACACGCCCGGGTTGGAGGAGGCAGCCGCAGCCGCCGCCGCCGCCGCCGACCGCCCCATCCTGCGGTACCTCGTGCACCTCCACATCTGCTGCCCGTCCAAGGGGCGCTTCTACCTCTACAAGAGCGTCCGGATCGTCTTCGCCAACCGCGTCCCCGACGGCAAAGAGAAACTCCGCAACGAGACGACGAACCCGGAGCCGCGGTTCACGCCGTACAAGCCCATCCGCGTGATGCACCCGCCCATGTCGAGCAGCCACAGCGGACCCGCGGCGACGCTCGCGGCAGAAAAGGCGTCTCGGAGGCGGAGTGCCGGGTTCCCCTTGGTTCCGTCTGCGTATCCCTACGCCGTGGAGGGTGGGTGTACATCGGACGGGTTCTCGCAGTCGCCGCAGGCCGCGGGGTACGGTCAGCAGCAGTCGTCGCCGTCGCCATTTAGCTTTGGCGGGAATACGCAGCCTGTGGAAGCGGTGCCGTTTGCGCTTTCCGTCCCGGGACGGGGGCGCGCTCGTCTGGGGAGCGACGTGAGCGATACCACGAACACGACGAGCACTACCACACCCGGCATCCTCTCGCCGCAGTCGGAGCAGGCGAGTAGACCGACGACCAAGGACGGGTGGGGGGACGCGCAGGTTGCGAGGTACGAGAAGCTGAGTAAGGGGGACGTCGGGTACGGCGGCAACGCGTTTGCGCCGTCGTCTGGGCGTGGTGGGAGTCCTGGGGGTGCTGCGGAGGGGCTGCTTTCGCAGCGGTTGCGGTCTTTGGGTGTACAGAACCAGGGACGGGGTCAGGGACAGGGTCATGATCAGGATCAGGGCGAGATGCCTTTTGGTGGTCGACCGGAGTAGGTGGTTCATCACTTCATGCATCTCTTGTACATATTCATGACACCGATTTTGGTGTGCTTACTTATTTAGCCCCGGGTTATATGGGTTTGGGGGTCACTGAGGGAGCTTTTGTTCTATGGGATGGGAAACGGGCTTTATCATAGACGTACGGTGTTTTTGGCTTTTGGGTGATGCCGAGGAAGGCAATATTTATATCGAGATATTTAAGAAAGACATACTACTTACTCATCTTGGTGTGTGCCGGATTATCTCGCTGGGAATGTATGGTGTTGAGGACCGAGTCGCAGGAGAGTCCCCGAGAGACCGGGTGTCTTGTGTGGAAGCTTGCTCACACCTTGATGACTAGATACTCATCAATCATGCGGCTCACACTTGGGAAATCCAACATCCTCCCGACAGCATCTTGGAGGATTCAACCCCATGTGGTCAGCGACGTCCCCGAGAGGCTGGAGTAACTCACGGAGGCCATCGCCGGGTCCTACATGCATTCATTCACCGATCACAGCTTCTCCGCGCCTTCTTCGAGATCTCTTCTCCCCGACGGGGTCTCGCAGCGCTCCGCCCTCCCGTCCTCCCGCCCGTCTGTCTTTCCCGAGTGCGAAAGCGCAAGGTGGTTTTTGCGGTCTTGGCTGTGTTTATTAAGGTGTAGACCAAGACCACACGGTTGGGGACACGGACTTGATGAGGTTGGGAGGCACGGATGATGGGAAGACATCAGACTAAATGGAAGGTAGATGATATAGGTAAGAGTGGCAGAGTGAGTCCAGACCGAGGATGTCGGACCACTAGGATGGATGCGCTGACTTTCATGATGCCAGACGTCGGGTCAATGAGGAGAGGAACGAAGGGGGGGTTCTTGGGAATTATGCGCCCACGGCTATCACTCCCTCACGCTCCCTCAGCGTCTCTTACATCCGAGCGAGGGATTTTCAAATACTTCAAATGACGGAAACAAAGTCCGAGCGAAAGCATCCATTTTGCCCTGTCATTGGAGATCGAATCTTACATCTTGGACATCAGACGGTTTCACCGCGGCACATTTCTCGCCGTGAGCCCCCCCCGTCGCCTGCAGCGGCGGGGGGAGGAGAATGGTGTGTGAAACGTCTTCGCCTTTGCGTTTTGTACGGCGGGGGGGCTGTGTGCCATTTGTTATTTTCTTCTTGGTGATGAGGGAGCCTAGCCTAGTGGTGAAGGAGATTCCGTCATGGTCTGCGACTTTCTCTCACAATGCCCCCTCCCCCGGCTGAGGCGGCGTCATCTGAAGCGAGTGTGGTTGTGTGTACGCAATGGGTCGGCCCCCCCGTCGACGTCGTCGAGGAGGAGCTCACTTACATGATCCCATGTGTGTGACGCAACCTCTCATCAACCACCAAGGACGTTTTGGATATTGTCCACGCACATGTCAAAGCTTTGAAATACCCTGAACAACCCCTCCCTTTAACAATCCTTTGGGTTTTGGGCAACCTAAAGGTCCCTTATTCGAATCCAAAGGTTACCTTTTGCGGCTCTGCGGTTGACAACCTCCCGAACGATCACCACTTGGGTAAACACCAAAAAACGAAACATCTTCATATTCCTTGGCACGAACTTACAAAATAAAAAGGGGCGCGATGAGGCCGTCATCCGCCCTCCTCTCAGCAGCCCTGCTCTACCAGCAGACCACGGCGCTGACGATACCGATCCCCTCGATACCAATAACACCAACGACACCGCAAAAGCTCAAGGGAAACCCCAACCGCGACAGAGACCTCTCGAGCCTCCTCTCCGGCTCCTTTGAGGTCCTCGACCGCGTGCCGGGCCTGGTGGACAAAGTCGTCAACACGACGCTGCTCGTCGTCCGCGCCCTTAGGGAGACGGTGGCCGAGAACGGCATCACGCAGAATGACCTCGACATGGCCCTCGGCATCAACGGCACCACGGGCATGCCGCTGCCTCTCGCCGGGAACACCACCCGCGCCGTGACGTGTCCGGACGTGGCTGTCCTGTTCGCCAGGGGGACCAATGAGCCTGGTATGTTTACCCCCCCCCCCTAAATTCAACAGAGGAGGCTTTAACTAACACCCAAAGGCAACGTGGGCTTCCTCACCGGCCCCCCCTTCTTCGACGCCCTCCGCACCTACATGAACGGAACAGGCTCCATCGCAATCCAAGGCGTAAACTCCTACCCCGCCGACCCGCCCGGCTTCTTCGCAGGCGGCTCCGCCACGGGCGCCGCCTTCGCCGCCCAAGTCGCCTCCCGCACACTCTCCGCCTGCCCAGACACCCGGCTCACGGTATCGGGTTACTCCCAGGGCTCGCAGGTCGCCCGCCTCGCCGTGGCCCAGCTGCCGGCCGACCAGCGCGCGCGGCTCTCGAGCGTGGTGCTGTTTGGCGACCCCCTCGGCGGGAAGGCGATTGACGGGGTCGATGCGACAAAGTTGCTCGTTGTGTGTCATACGGGGGATAATATCTGCCAGGGGGGTGATTTCATCTTTAATACGCATCTCGATTATAGTCTTGACGCGCCGACGGCGGCGTTGTTTGTGATGCAGAGGAGTAAGCTTGGGCTTGCGAGTCGCGATGCGCAGAATGAGGGCATGGGGGGGACCATGGTGGGCACTGTCCAGGGGATCATGCATTCTCCCAAGGACGGGATAGCGAGTGATTGACGAGGTTGATGTGTCGTTCTATACAGGGTAGACTCGGGAGGGAAAGCTAATAAACAAAAGTTGTATTGTCACATCTATCGTCCATCCCCGTTGAGGAGAGTGTTGATTCTCTCCAAGAATATCATCGCTGCAATTAAATGCCGTGCCCTTCTATAACACACCCATGTCTGGTCTAATAAGTCTTGTACAAGATATCTCTGTTCATACACGCGTCTCCATTGGTAGTCAGACGTCCCGTCCACCAACTACAACGGAACACGCAGGCCGTCAATGGTGACCCCGCCCGTAGTCATTGATGATGAGTGTTCAGGTTGTTGCGCCCAAGACGAGGTCTCGGGGTGCGAGTCAACAATGTCTTCCTCTCGGCGAGGAGTGGGATGCCTCGACGATGGCGAAGCTCGAGTCCGTAGGCCGTCGATTGTGACTCCGCCCGAGGTTATTGATAAAGGCTCAGACTGCTCCGCCGACGATATGTTCTCGGGTTGCGAGCCAACACCTTCCTCGCGCGGTGGAAGGGTTGGCACCGATGAAGCCTGGGCCCGCAGACCGTCCAGTAAACCGTCAAGAGTAACACCGCTCGAGGTAGACAAAGGCTCAGGCAGTTGCGACGGGCCCTCCTTCTGCGAGCCAAGGGCGCCGCCGCGCGGAGGGGTTTTACCCATTTGCAAGAGCGCCATGCTATTCTTCTGGGTCCCAAAGAGCTCCTTTTCAATACCTACGCCCGTGTACATCATTCTGTTGAATGCGTCCACCAGGCGCGGGCACAGCTCGTGAAAGATAGTGAGTTTGCGCGCCGCGCCACCCGACCACATCGCCGCGCGTCGAAGTTCGTGGTAGTCCTTGGACAGGAGGATGACGGTGTACGATGTCGGACGTAACATTTGCGCCGCGCGGTGGGCTCGACGCGTCTCCAGCGGTAGATTATTCGTGACTTGCGCGCGGACGCGACTCTGCTGCCAGCCCGTCCATCTCGGCATAAGGTACCCTTCGCACATCTTGCAGGCTTCTAGCCAAGCCCCCGTGCGGGCGAGACCTTGAACTACAAGGTTCATGGCCCGGCGCTCCAACAGGAAGCCCGAGTCAAATAACGTCTCAAAGCCCCTCTTCAGTCGCGTCCAGCTCTGTAGCTCTACACATATCTGTATGAACGTCTCAAATGGCTTGGAAAGACGGTAGCGGTGCCGCGGCATAACTGCCCTCGATTTTGGACGAGCAATGGCCACGACCTTTTCCTGCAGTTGATCCCACTTTGCCATGGCCTCTTCGTACCTCTTGTTGAATACGTCCTCCTTCATCATGTGGTATAGCCATTGGACGGGAGTTTCATTGTCGGTAGAGTTGGTCGTGGCTGCGGTGACGCTCCTATACAGCTGCTGGAGCTCTCTGACCGAGTCGTAATCGCGATACGCACCGAAGAGCTGGATGGCCATATCGAGCAAGACCCGCAGGCGGTGCAGGGAATCGGCGCGTCGTATTGAGGAAACTGTCCGTTCCGACTCGGCGCTGGTGAAGATTTGGTTGGCCAGATCCCGAATGTATGTCATCAACTCCTCCACGCCGTCAACGTTTTTCGAATTCTGATTGTAGGCAAACAACTGCTGCTTAATCATTATGCGAGCTTGGTCAATGCGACTCTTGACTGACATGGTCTTGTGCTGTCGCAATTCCTTCGTTAGCTTGCCGGCCAAGGCCAGATGGCGGCCGTCAAGGGCGCCCTGTACGATGGTGTCTATGTGGGCTGGGACCACCTTGAACGACTTTTCGCGAGCAGCCGAACGTAGCAACTTGTACGCCATTTGGGTTTGCCCGCAACGGACCAAGGCGCGGAGTAATTGTGTATGGGTTTCGGAGGACCACTTGACACCAAGCTTCGCCATGGCCTCCAGTTCACGAGCGACAGCGGGCAGATTGCGGCGATACGCCTGAGACCGTAAAAGAGCATTCCAGAGTATGTCATGGTCGCCCGGAACGTTGTTGGCGTGGGCATCGGTACAAACTTGCAACATGGCTCTCGTCCGGTTATACCAGGAGTGGGCTCGGATGACTTTTGCAAGCATAATGACGTCCGGCTCGATGCCTAGTGATTTCGCTTGCTCGAGAAGTTGCAACGTCTTCACGTTGTCTCCTTCTCTCGCACTTATGGACATGATGGTGGCAAAAGAATACTTATCAGGTGACACGCTCGCGCAGAGCTCTTCAAACACCGACTTGGCGAGATCGTAGTCCGCGGTGGTGCTCTTGAGAAGCTGATTCCAGCTGTCGGTGCCCGGGGTCACGCCGTGCTTGTCTCTCATCTCGTCAAAGAATCGTCGTGCGCTCTTGTAGTCCTTGAGGTTCGCATAGGCGTTGATGACGTAGTTAAAGGTTTCTGGTTCCCGAAGGACATGGCGGTGCTTGTAGGCGTAGACGTAGTTGTCCCACAAACGCTCCAGAGACTTGATGTCGCCCCGTGATGCGTAGTACTTTAAGAACTTCCTGTACCCCCACCTATCCAGTCCTCCGTAGCTGGTATGATAGTCTTCGTAGACCTGCTCGAGGCCCACGACATCCTCTGGGTAGAATATATCAAACATGCCATGAAGAACTCTCCAGTACGGCCGCGTGTTGGGAAACGACCGGTAGACACGGTACACCTCGGCCAAACCCTCTTGCTGTCCTCGTGCCAGAGCTTCTTCGAGGTAGATGGTGAACCACTTCTTCTGGTCCTTGTCGATGAGTTTGAGCAGAGGCAAGGCTTCGTCTGGCTTACATGGCTGCTGGATCGCGCGCCTGACCGCCTTGTTGAGCAGGATTCGGAGTTTCCGCGCTACTTCTGGTTCCTGCGCCTCGACCTCCTCGGCGAAGCTCATGGTAAGGGCTCCGAGGTTGGGAGTTGCACCAAGCTGTTTCAACTTTCCACAATTGATGCCTTCGGCGAGGTAAACCGTATGATATGATGCCCACACTCGGCTGACGTTTTCCCAATCGCCCTGGGCAAAGAAATGACCCAACAGCTCGTCCAGACCGCACACAAAGGCCTTCTCGTCCAGCGCCTTGTGGTATAGCCGCAACGCTTCGCTCTCTCGTCCCAAGCGTAGATATGCCGTTACCACTGATGTCAGAGCCAATGTGGTCCATTGGCTGTCGTCGATTTGGGGGAACAAGAGGACAACTCTTCGCGCATCAATGACGTTTGCGGACTGATACAGGTATTCAATGATCTTGGGCCGAAACTCTGGTTGCAAATCAGGCTCCAGCTGCGCATAGAGCTGCCATATGGACCCAAAATACTCCGTGTCTTTGTCGGCCATCAACTCCCTCATCAGTTCGGGCCGCGACCCGGCGCCGGCGTACGATGGACCGCTGTGCGTGTCGTGCGAGCTGGTGATGTCGTAGTCATCCTCTTCCTCTTCAAACTCGTCTTCTTCGGCGGGATCTACATCTTCTTCAGCCGGATCTACATCTTGTTGGTATTCATACCGCAGGTCTCGCACCGCAGATTCGTCTCCCCGGTTCATCGACAGGCCACCATTGGACAGAGCCTCGGGCGAGTCGGAGTCTTTCGTTGAAGTCGCAACCGTGGAAGAGGTGAATGGCCTAGATCGGCGTGGAAGCCGTCGAATGGACGCTAGTTGGTCGTGAGGAAGGCCCGGAGAGGCTCTGCGTAAGAAGGAGGCGGTTCCGCTAGGGTAGAGAAAGTCGAGAAGAAAGGTCGAGGCGGCGAGGGTTTCGGGGGGTGTTGGCGGCGAGTCGGAGATGGGTTGATCGGTGGCATTGCAACGCGCAGCCAGCAAGTAGCTGGAGATATCTAGGGCTGCGGCGCCATGCTGCCAGAAGCCGGTGTGCAACCTGCGCTGGCTTCTAAGTTGTCGCGTGGCGGATGGAAGAGCATGAAGACTGGTACATGATTCCAGGGTCGCCGCCGTTCTCTCCAGCATTGGTATTGAGGCTGTCACCAACACGGTACGTATCGATCATGTATGGCGGACATCAAAAGCACTCGGGCACATGCTGGTCGTGGGTATCGTTGGTGTTGTCGCGCAAAGCCGGAAAAGTTTTGGGTGGAGTCGCGAAATCGAAGACGTCGACGACCGAGGTGTTGTCCAAGCTGAGCTAGGCTAGGTCGACAGAGCACACAGGATAATACAGGTGGCAATTGGAAAAAGTCCCAGTGGCGGCTTTGATACAACAAGTCAAGTGACCTATTCTGCGAAACGCGATCAAAGGGACGGCCGGAAAGTATGCACGATGCCTTCAAAGACCGTAGTATCAGTCCATAATCCACCATCATGGACTTTTTCGGGGAGCTTCAACCAATGGCAAGGCGTCGATGGGAACATCTTCAACCCGGCGTCCGACCCCGGCTTACATAATGCCCGAGGTGGGTGTGCAGTTAGCGGTCTTGAGAACACGCCCTAAATTTTGACAATCCCACATTGAAGCAGAGCAGAGGACACACTGGTGAGCCCCACCAATCCCCCGCGCAGCGCAGAGGTCGATTCGACATCATCCCGTCCCCTTTGGTGTGGCCTGTCGCGATTCTGCCTCCCAGTGTCGAACGGACGAACCGATCGCCACCACCACAGCCATGGATATCACAAAGTTTGTCGTCTCTGGCCGTGACGCGGCTCTCCTTTACGGAGACTACGCAACCTACCAGACCCAGCTGTCCAAGAAGCTACTCAACAGCCGCAAGAAGCTCAACATTGCCACGAAGAACCGTGGAAAGTTTAGCAAGAAGGGTGAGGTCGGCGTCTCGCAAATTGCCGAGAACCATGAGTATGTCGATACGTGCAAGGACGAGGGGCCGTTGACTGACACTGGTTAGATATGTTCACCTCCTCCTTCTCACGAGCGAACGTGCCTGGGCCAATGCCATGGCCATCAAGGCATCGCACGCCTCGGATGCCAAAGGCATGACCGGCAAGACGAGATCCCACATCGTCTCACGACTCCAAAAAGCAACCAAGGCGGCCGAACACCTCGCCGAGCTGCTCTCCCAACCCGAAGCCGCCGCCACACAGAACGACAAGCTCGAATCCCGGGCCTACGCCGCCCACATCCGTGGTGCCGCCCAGTTCGAGAACCAGCACTGGGAGCCCTCCCTGCGCAGCTACGCCGTGTCGCGCATCATCTACAGCACAATGGCAACGACCACCAAGGGCGATATCTTCAAGGACCTCCTCTCCGACACCATCGATCCCTCGATCCGCTACGCCGCCTACCAGCTCAAGACGCCGCGCACGATACCCGTTCCCGCCATCGCCAGACGAGCATTCCCCCAGTCCGATAGCGCCCTCGTTCAGCAGATTAACGAACTCGACCCCAACGTGTTGAAGCAGGTGGACGCCGAGACTAGCAAGGGCGGCGAGGGTGCCGAGAACGCACCCAGGTCACTTACCTGGCGCTCTCGCGATGTCAAGATTGAAGACGCTGCAATCTCTCTAGCATGGGGCAGAGCAGAGGAGGCCAAGGCGAAGCTCTCCGAGACGTGGCCGTCTCTTGTTGATGCCGACCCCAGAGACGTGGCCGCCGCGTACGACGACATCCTCGAGGCGACGCAGGATGCCGCCGATGCCACAAAGGAAGCGATTGACGAGCTGCGAGGCGAAGGTGTCTCCCAGAGCGACTCCCGCATGCAGAGCCTGCAGATCACCAGAACCGCTGTCAACTACGAGATGATTAGCTGGCGAATCGGTCGCAACCGCGTCTTGACGGGCAACGACGACGGCCTGGTTGAGAGATACCACTCGACTCGCAAGTCCAAGAAGGCAGACAAGGTCGCCAAGGAACAGACTCCCGGACGCAAGGCTGCAAAGCTCAAGGAACTCGTTGCTTTGTACGAAGGTACCCTGCAGAGTCTCGAGGCTGCGAGGGAGTTGCCCGGCGTGGCCAACGACGAGGAGCTCGCCGACCAGCTCGAGGCTTTTGCCGAGTACTTCCAAGCTCTCAAGTGAGTTGGACGTCACTGCCTTGATTCTATCATACTGACAACACAGGTCCCTCTCCATCGCCCGCTCCCACGCCATCATCGGCAACACCGTCAACGCCCTAGCCCTCATCAAGCACGCCACGAGCGAAGCCCAAGAAGCCGCCTCGACCCTCGCCAAGGGCTCCCAACCGCAACCCAACACCCCGCGCAGCATCGAGGTGTCCGCCGCGGACGCAAAGGCCCTGGCAACCTACCTCCAAGGCGAGCTCCAGCGCCACCGCGCCCTCGTCCACCTCTCAAACCTGGTCAAGGAGTCGGCCGCCTCCAACGAAGATGACGCCCAGAAGCTGCCTCTGATTGAGCGGCTGCGCGAGTACCCCTCCAACGGGATCGACCTCCACAACATTGTCAGCGTCCCGCCCAAGCTGTCTGCCATCCCCGTCAAGCCCATCTTCCTCGACGTGGCGTGGAACTACATTGATTACCCGGGCAAGGAGCCGCAGGAGCCGGTTGCCAAGGCGCCATCCAGTCAGGCCGAGCCCGCGGCGCAGAGCGGCGAGAAGCCGCAGGCACAAAAGAGAGGATGGTTTGGTTTTGGTAGATGAAAGTAGTCAATTAATGTCAATGGTCTTTGTCGGCTACATACGCACACATGTCTCTTGCATTGTTGAATATCACTGAGTCTCAGGGTCCACGATTGTTTTGAGAGGGGATGTAGAATTATCACGTCTAGCTACTCCGGATTCGGTTTGGTTTTGTACATATGCAACCCCGTCTTAATCCCCTTTGATCCATACCATCGATCATATCATGAATACCGAGTAGTTATCTCGTGTGTGTGAATGTTTTTGATGCTCCAACGCCGGTTCCGCCGACCGCAGGCAAGGTATTAACAAACATGTTGTAAAAAGGGGTAACAAGGAAGAGAGAGCCGGTGCGATTCCCGATTCAGTCGGATCGAGACCGGAATATGAGTACAAGGTGGAATACAAACATTGAGCAAAGCAAGTCTATGCCCCGCCCAAAAGGTAATAATCAAACATGCTGACGCGAGTCTTTTATCGACTCGCGGGAGGTGGAAAGATGCAAAGAATCAGGACTCAAAAACCATTTAAGGCTTCTTCTCGTCCTTGTTCTCGGCGTTGGCGTCCTGAGCGGGCTGCTCGCCAGACTCGGCGCGGGCCTTGTGCATCTTGTCAAAGAGGTTGAGGGAGGCGACCTGGAGCTCGTCGGTCTTCTCCTTGATCTCGGCGGCGGTGGCGTTGCCCTCGCCGGCCAAGCTCTTGGAGACGAACTTGCGGAGGGAGGCAATCTTCTCACGGATGCCGTCGGCCTCGGTCTTGTCGAGCTTCTCGGCGTACTCGTTGAGCGCGCGCTCGGTATCGTTCAAGACAGAGTCGGCGCGGTTGGCAGCCTCGATGGCACCCTTGCGCTCCTTGTCGGCCTCGGCGTACTTCTCAGAGTCGTTGACCATCTGCTCAATCTCAGAGTCGGACAGACCGGAGCCGGAGGCAATGGTGATGGACTGGTCCTTGTTGGTGGACTTGTCCTTGGCACCGACGTGGACGATAGAGTCGGCATCAATGTCGAAGGTGACCTCAATCTGGGGAACACCACGGTGGGCAGGGGGGATACCGACCAACTGGAAGTTACCGAGGAGCTTGTTGTCACGGACGAGCTCACGCTCACCCTGGTAGACCTTGATCTCGACAGCAGTCTGGAAGTCGGCAGCGGTGGAGAAGGTCTGCGACTTCTTGGTGGGGATGGTGGTGTTGCGGTTGATGAGACGGGTGAAGACACCGCCGAGGGTCTCGATACCGAGGGAGAGGGGGGTAACGTCGAGGAGGAGAAGGTCCTTGACCTCACCGGAGAGAACGGCACCCTGGATGGCGGCACCGATGGCGACAGCCTCGTCGGGGTTGACGGACTTGGCGGGGTCACGGCCGAAGATGCTCTTGACGGACTCGGAAACCTTGGGCATGCGAGTCATACCACCGACGAGAATGACCTCCTGGATGTCCTTGGCCTGGAGGTTGGCATCCTTGAGGGCCTTGCGGACGGGGTCGATGGTGCGGGTGATGAGGGGGTCCATCATCTTCTCGAGCTGAGCGCGGGTCATCTTCTGGTTGATGTGCTTGGGGCCGGAAGCGTCGGCAGTGATGAAGGGCAGGTTGATGTCGGTCTGGAGGGAGGAGGAAAGCTCAATCTTGGCCTTCTCGGCGGCCTCACGGATACGCTGGATGGCCATGCGATCGTTGGACAGGTCAATGTTGGAGTCCTTCTTGAACTGCTGGACGAGGTGGCGGACGAGGTGGATGTCAAAGTCCTCACCACCCAAGTGGGTGTCACCGTTGGTAGACTTGACCTCGAAGACGCCGTTCTGGATCTCGAGGACGGAGATATCGAAAGTACCACCACCAAGATCGTAGACGGCGACAACGCGGTCCTCCTCCTTCTCAAGACCGTAGGCAAGGGCGGCGGCAGTGGGCTCGTTGACGACACGGAGGACGTTGAGGCCGGCAATCTGACCGGCGTCCTTGGTGGCCTGACGCTGGGAGTCGTTGAAGTAGGCAGGGACGGTGACGACGGCGTTCTTGACGGGCTTGGAGAGGTAGGCCTCGGCGGTCTCCTTCATCTTGTTGAGGACGAATCCACCAATCTGCGAGGGAGAGTACTTCTGGTCGCGAGCAGAAACCCAGGCGTCGCCGTTGGTGTGCTGGACAATCTTGTAGGGAACCTCCTTGATGTCACGCTGGACCTCAGCGTCGGTGAACTTGCGACCGATGAGACGCTTGGTGGCGAAGAGGGTGTTCTCGGGGTTGACGACGGCCTGACGCTTGGCGGCGACACCGACGAGACGCTCGCCATCCTGAGCAAAGGCTACCACGGACGGCGTTGTGCGCGCACCTGTTGATGTCTGTTAGCTTGCTGCTGCGCGCATTTGATGGTTCAATGGAGTATGCTCACCCTCGGCGTTCTCGATAATCTTGGGAACCTTGCCCTCCATGATGGCGACGGCAGAGTTGGTGGTACCGAGATCGATACCGATCACGGAGCCCGTGACCTTGCCCTCGGATGCTGTTGACTCATAGCGAGCAAACTTTGAGGCGAAGGGCTGGCGAGCGAAGCCGGCTGAGCGGGCGACGGAGCTGGTAGCTCTGGGAAGCTATTGCGCGTTAGCAAGCGAGAAAAAAAAAACTCTGATGGGTTCGCGACAGGTGTCACGAGCTAGGGGGGGAAAACGTACAGCTCTTGAGAAGCGTGCAGACATCATCTTGCCTGATTGTGTGTGGGTATAACAAAAGGGGATGGAGGGAAAAGAAGATGGCGCGCGGAAAGGAATGGAAAAGCGGTTATTATAGAGTACACTGTGGATGAATTGGGGGGAGGGAGGAGGTGGGTGAGGATGCGAGGAAATGATGATGGCAAGGAGAGTTCAAAATTTTTTGACCCGAAAAATGATGCGCGCCCCCGGTCATAGAAGCCGACCGAATCCCGCCAGGCTCGGGACCCCGGCATCGGTTATTCCGAGGTGTAGCCAGATCCACCACCAGAGATTCTCAGTGGGCTCTTTGGTGGGGGCACCGGCGCACGTGACGAATGAATGGCAGCCACAGGCTGGAGGCGCGCTTGAAGCAACGGGATCGCCCGGCCATTTCAGGTAATGGACGTGGCGCTAGTGGACGTGTCACCGGCCAGGGACGGAGCCAGGGGAGCTAGGGGGAGCTCGGCTGGGAATTTTTTGACCTGGAGACTGGAGTCAGCTCTTTGCCGTGGCGGCGGAGCCTGGAGGCATTGACGCGTTGATGCTGCTCGATTCACTCCCTGGCACGCAGACTTTTTGCGCCTCCGTCTTGCGTGCCAGCGAGTGTCTTTGGGACTGTTTATCTGAATGATGGCTACTCTCTCTAGATTCACCTTTTCCAGAGACGAATGGCAATCCATCGTCTTCCCGGCAGGCTGGCCTAGAAGACTCGAGAGTGCGAAATCTATTATTCTACACAGCGCAGAGAAAAGCTGGAGAGGTCCACCGGCTGCGCGGAAAGCACACCCGATCCAGCAGGCCCCGACGGCTGCGCTTCCGGTCCCGAAAAGTGGAACCCAGTGGTGGGTCTGGGTACCCCGAGGTCGGATCAAGACCTGGCGCGACGCAGAGCTTCGCCTGGGTGTTGCGGAAGCTGTGCAATTCCCTCGGGCCTGTCGCAACTCATCATCAACGGTGCTTTAGGTCTGGGGTTTGTAGGGGCATATTGTTCCCTTTTCATCCGATGTGTTGGTACTTTGGCCGCACACTGGGTTGGAGGATTACTGCCGGAGAATCAGCAGAACTTCAAACAGTTGATTGTCGGTGGTGCTTTGGCGTCGGTTGGGGGATTCCGAAACCAATATGGTAGATAGAGTCTTATTTGCATGCACTGGCTGGTCATTGGACCTTTTGGAAGATGATCAACTCTAGTGCATTGTATGAAGTGCGGAAAGAATCATTTTATTCAACTCATACCTAGGCTCTTTACGATCTGTGATTCGACCGAGGCGAGCCTGAAGTACTTGGCTGAGACACAAGACGGCACTGCGGTCATTGATCAATGATGGTCCTCATTGACAAGTGCTCCTCTATCCGAATTAAGAGGTCTGAGAATCCGGTCTTCTCTCTATAGTGTTATTCTCGACACAAGTCTAAACAGCGGAGTTGCACCTGTCGCAATGTACCACCAAAGAAACAGATAGAGGCCACGGATCGCAACGGGGCCCACAAACGGCAAGCTTTGCTACTCAATTCGAGATGGGAATTGACGATTGGTTGGACGAGTATTTGCCGACTTTGATGGAGAAGAAAAGCCTACCTGGCCGTGCGTTGCGGTGCACCGAGGTGGTTTACTACTACTTGCTTGGATCATTAAAAGATGCCCCATTAAAGCGCTAGAAACCCCCGTGTGTAAATGGCGTCTTTTAGCTAAGAGAATCAACCAACAATCGGATTGGACGTCTGTTTAGACCCCAGACTACCTGCTAATGAGGTACCGACCTTACCATAACTACCTAGGTGCAGGACTCCAAGTGGTAAGCAAAGTGCCTCGTTGGGTAAGCAGCAGCCCAAGCTCCCGTCCCGAGGCACCTGCCCAGGGAACGTGCTGCAGAGGTACCCCGGGTCGCCCAATTCTAGGTAGCTTACCACTGTACTCCGCATGCGCAGGCCACTGTATTCGCAGGCAGTGAACCAACCAACCAGGACGAAGGCGAAAAGCAGAACAGGCCCCTCCTGCCATACACGGACGTCATGCGGGAAGTTGCCTCTCGTCTCGCGCAATTCACATCGCATCGTCCCCAAACATCCGACACCCCGAATCATCCCACGGCTTCATCAGTCGCAGCGTATTCACCGCCCTGTCGTCACTGTCATCGCTCAGCACGCGGGTGGGATTGATTGCACTGGCGACGCTGCTCGACTACGCGTGCCTCGGCACCTACATGTTTACTTTCCCACGGACGAACCCTCTGGCCACTCCATAAGCCATCATGGCTGTGAAAGATGGCGTCTCGTATGCCTCCCAACATTGCAATTGTTTCGACCATGCCAGACTGACCTTGACTCGCTGCAGATACTATCCGACAAACGACTTGATCTCCAAGAAGCCGCGGAAACACTACCGCATCCCTGTCCGATCCCAGTGCGTTTCCGTCCTCCGCTCTCACCTCGCGCGCACCACATACCTCAAGTACTGACCACATACAGACACTGGCAGCTACGATCGCTCATCAGCGCCGAGAAACAAAACTTTGTCTATTTTCCCGGGGGCGCCGGCAGCAACCATGTCCAGCGGCTCAACACGACGACCAAGGAGTGCGAGACGGTCAAGTTCCTGTCCTTTTCGCCACGATGCCTAGTCGCTGAGAACGGCTGGGTGTGTTGCGGAGGAGAAACGGGCGAGTTTACGGCGATCCAGATGGACAGCGTTAGCGACGACGATAACAATCTCGATCTGCGACTCAACTTGGAACCCGACGCCCGGTTACCCCTCGGCATGGGGACAGACTCGGAAACCCCTCGACCGCCAGATACCGTCTTTGGGATCCTCAGCCAGGCGCGGCGGCTGAATATGAGCAGCAGGCTGGACAAGAGCGTCATTGCCAAGAGCCAAAAGCTCGCGCGCGACCGCGTCAACTGCATAACCATGTGGTTCCCACCAGCGGCCGGCCCCATGCATCACGGAGCCTACACAGAATCCGCCGCCGTCTTGGCAAACAACGACAAGACGGTCGTTCTGGTCGGCTTGCGCGACTTTGATAACCAGGACAAGGTCGAGCCTCTGGATATAGTGACGTATCCCGACTACGTCAATCGAGCCATCATCTCGCCCGATGGTCGCCTCCTGTGCGCAATCCTTGACGACCCGTATCTGTACATCCACCATCGCACCGAGGCACCAATCGACGAGAGCGGCCCGTTCCGGAACGACGACAAGGTCGAGTACCGCTGGGAGTTGTGCGGCAAGATTTTGCTCAAGAGCCAGCGTCGCGACGACAGCTCCGATAGTAGGGGAAGTTTCGCGGCGTGTTTCTCCAACACGGGGGCATATCTGGCTGTCGGGACACAGTACGGCACCATTTCGGTGTTTGACGTTGCGAGCCTGACCGATCCGGATGTTGCCGACCCGCTGCTAACGTCCTTTACCTCGTCACGGCCGATGGCTGGGTCGGGTGCGGTCCGCGACATGGCTTTTTGTCCTGGGCCGTACGACCTCCTGGCTTGGACCGAAGACCGTGGCCACGTTGGCATCGCGGATCTGAGGAGCGGGTTCGTGCAACGTCAAATACTGGACATTAGCACCACCGAAGATTACGACCAAATTCCTGTTCTTGATCGTGCCACGATTGACCCGCGGCTGCTCGAGGGCCGTGGTGAGCCGAATGATACTCTGTCGTCCATCCTGCCAGAGGCCAGCGAAAGCAGGCGGCGGCGACTCGACGGTACAGGACGCCAGCATCTAGCACTCACACCTGACGAGACGCGGGTGCTTGAAGCCCTGCAGGAGGACCGCCGTAGGAGAGAGCAGAGGGACCGGATCACGGCGCGAATGGCAGAGCAGACCTCTCAGCAGGGATCACCGCAATTCTTTCCAGGCATGCCTCCCATGGGTGGAAGAGGTGCCCGTATTGACCCCGAAACAATGGCGCGCCCACGACTGAATGCGCAGCGAGATAGTCAAGCACAGCGAGACTTTCAAGTGGCGCAGAGGGCACAAAGAACGGCGGCGCGCGTGGGCCTGGACCACGAGGCGGGCGAGCCCAGCAATGACTCGAATCAAAACGTGTCAAGGGCCATTGGAGACCTCCTCGGCAACATTCGAGATTCGAGAGAGCGCGCGCAGGAACGTATACGCACGGCTCAGCGTCTCATTCTGCAGTCCAACTCGAGCCGGGACAGCATGATGGACTTGCAGTCCAGCTCTGATCGAGACCTAGGCCTGGCGACTCCTCACCCACCGCGACGTTCGGCAAGCATACGCCCGAGTGAAGCGTTGGCGACGACACAGCGTGGGTCAAGCGGTCTGCGCAGCCTGACACCGGCGGGGAGCGGCTGGGCAGACCTGGAAGCGCTATACACCATGTCGTTTGAGAGCAACATCCAGGATCTCCGGCAAGCCGTCCAGGACCGCAACAGAGAGATCCTGCCGCTTCTCAATAGCGTCAACATGCGAGAGATGGAGCGTGACCACGACATCCTGCGGCAACTGGAGCGCAGCCAATTTCTGCGCCGACGGGGCGAGCAGCGAATGGCCGAGCAGCGCATGGCTGAGCGCGGCGTCCACGAAGCACCCCCCGAGCCCGACAACACGGCCGGGATCTCGTGGAGCGAGGATGGCAGAGTCTTGTAAGTTGGTCCTTGGATGCGCAGTGAATGAAGCTAACCAATAAGGTACGTTGGTGCGGAGAACGGCATCTACGAGTTCCACGTCGACGTCCAAGGCCGAAAGTTCCAGCCCAGCTTGACGTTACGGTAGCGCGTGAAGTTTGTACTATCCTTTGCCGGCGTTGGGAAATGGTGGGATTGACTGTATAGCCGAAAATGACACAGCTGCCCTGGGGGTAAACGGCGTGGCGGAGTTTTGACATGATTTATGATTTGGTGAGGGACGACATTTACACACGCATTCTCTATGAAAAGTCTGCAGCGTCATTTTGGTGTTTATTGTAACATGTGGACTGTGTGCTCTAGTCCGATGATTGATTTCGCGTGTAATACAAGCATAGGATATTGTAGCGTTTTCCGGATCGATGGATCTGCGTTGGAGACCCAGAATGAAGACATGTTGTCCATTACATCGCACTGCTACCCGTACACAATCTCCTCGACCCGCTCGGCAATCGCCAAACAGCTCGTCAGCCCGGGACTCTCGATGCCCAGCAAATTCACCCACCCCTCATACCCATCCTCCTTGCGGACAACAAAGTCATGGAACCCGCTGCCCTCGGCAACAGCCTGCTTCCGCCCCAGCTTTGGCCGTATCCCCGCGTAATCCGGCACAAGGGCACTCTCGTCGAGACCAGGCAGGTACTTTTTAATCGCCTCCACGGCCTCGGGCAGCCGCGCGCCGTTGACGGCTAGATTGTCGGGTGCATCGACCCACTCCACGTCCGGCCCGAAACGTACCCTGCCCGCGAGGTCGAGCGTGAGGTGCGTCCCCAACCCGCCGGCGCCTGGTTCGGGGGCCGGGTAGATGAGTCTCTTGATGTTGGGGGCGGGTTTGCTGCTACCCGAATAGGAGAAGTAATTCCCCTTTGCGTAGAACATTTGTCGGTGGTGGGAGGGCGGGACAATCATGTTGTGGATGTCGACTGCGCCTAAGCCCGCGGCGTTGATCAGGGTTTCTGTCGTGACGGAGCTCGTTTCTCCTGTGGATGGGTCGCGGACGTTGATCTCCCACCCTTGGGATCCGTGAGTGCCTAGCGGCGTGACGCCCACGACGTGGGAGTTGAGCGCCACGACGCCGCCCGCGTCTTCAAAGAGGCCTGTCAAGGCGACCATTAACCCGTGCGAATCGACGATGCCCGTTGTCGGAGACTCGAGCACGCCGGCGAGTGCCTGGACTTCCGGCTCTTCCCTCCTTGCTTCCTCTTTGCTTACCCATCGAACAGGGACACCAATTTCCTCGGTACAGAAATCATGCACGCGCTGTAGCGCCTCTCGTTGGGCCTCGTTCTGCGCGACGATCCATTTGCCGGTATTGGCGTGTCCTACGTGGTGTTCCTTGCAGAAGTCGTACAAGAGGTGTTTCCCGCGCACGCAGAGGGCTGTCTTGAGGGTGCCGGCGCCGTAGTAGATGCCCGCGTGGATGACCTCGCTGTTGCGGGAGGACGTTTCGGTCCCGACGGCGGTGTGGCGTTCTAGCAGGAGGGTTGAGGTGTTTGGGCGGGTGGCGAGGCGGTGGGATGTTGCGAGGCCTACTGCGCCGCCGCCTATGACCTGGGGGTGGTGTTAGTGTTGGTGTTTTGAGGTTGTGATGGTGAGATTTGATATCGGGAAACTTGGCAAGGGGTCCGGGAAACGTACAACGTGGGTGAAATCGACGGATCTCGCGGGGGAGGTTGAGAAGCCTCTGCGAGAAATCCGTGCGACTCCATTGAGGAGTCTTAGAGACGGCGGTCTCATTGACATGATTTTGTCGTTACTCGGGGTTTCTGAGACCGAGTTTGTGAGTGTGTGAAGATGTCTGTAAGTGTGTTTCCACTCTCCGATGACGCAAGCGGGAAGTTGCAGGGGTCCCGGGCGCCCATTTTCCGATAGTCGGGTACATGAGTTGCAGTGACATTCGCATATGCCAGTATGTTCCTCGTTAATGGATCGCAACGACATCTTGAGTTGGTCGGCGATTGATATGAATGCACCTCACGATAGCTGACACTTTGTACAACCAAGGCTCATGATGTTAATAAAGTCATCAAAACGTGATCTCATCGATTAAAAGCATGTATGTAGTGTAGGTATTCTCATGTGCACGCCGGCCCTCTCCAGCCATCATTAGTCCACGCCGCCGTCATCGCTCTTGACATAGTCGGCGTTGACGGCATCGTCCGAGATAGCAGCCTTGGTAGTAGGCTTGACATCAGATTTGACATCCCCCTTGGCAGCCTGAGTCTCCGGCTTAGGCGACGTCTTCCGACTCGATCCCCCCCTCCCGACAATCTTCTCCGTCCAATTCCACCCACCGAGCGGCGTCGACGACCGGGTCCCCTCCTTATCCTTAAACTCGGCCACCGTAGGACTCTTCACACTCGCCGTCGTCGCCGTCGTCTCGCTATCGTCGCTGTCATCCGCCCAATCCCGATCACTCCACGTCATGGAATCGACCCTCTCAGGCCGCTGCGGCCTCGTCGACCGCGTGATCCTAGGCGGGCTAGCCGACGAGCTGCGCGAGGACGAGCGCCGTTTTGGCGGCGCCTGCATATCCGGCACCCGATCCGCCGCTTCCCGCTGCGAGTTGGGAGAAAGCATCCCCGCAATCGGCCTCTCGTCGGATCCGTCGCCGCCCGTCGACTCGACGCCGCTGTCCCTGACCTCGTCGCCGTACTTATTCGGCGCCTGGCCCACGTCCAACGCAAGCTCGCCGGACCCCGCGTCCTCATCGCGCGTTCTCGCCGTGGCGGAGTCGCTAAAGTGTGCGTCGACCAGGTGCTTCACGACGGGCCATCCGTAGGCGTTGGCAAACATCCTACGCACGATGATGTTGTTGTGCGCGTCGGGTTCCAGCTTCACCAAGACCTTGCGCCACGCCAGACCGCGGTGGTAGGCCCGGGCAATCTTCTCCTCGACCCGCATCTGCGACCCGTCAATCTCCTCGTCGGGGCCCTTGTCGGGGTTCGTGTTGATCGTGTCGTCGTAGTCCCGCGTCGAGTCCATCGTGCCCTCGTGCGAGAAGCGCTGCGACGGGTGGGGTGACGAGTCCGTGCTGGTCCTCGATCCGCCAGATCCCGTCGAGGCAGCCCTTCGGAACGTGCTTCTCCGAGACGCCAGCGATCCGGTGGGCTTCTTCTTCAGCGGTGGGGGCGGTATGTCACTCGGGTGGTACACGCGGTCGTGGAAGATGGTTCTGGGTCGCTTCGATGGGTCGATGAGGTACTCGGTCGTCGGGATCTTGGGATTGATTAGGTCGTGCGCAGACTCGAAGAAGCTCGTCCTCGGCGGCGCGACGTGTTGTTGGTCCCGCTCCAGCTCATGGCCCGCAGTAACCTTTGTGCCGGATGTCTGCGGGATCTCGTCAAAGTTGATCGTCTGACTGCGCTTGTAGATCTTGTTCTGCTTGTTGGACATGCTGGGCGTCTTTGGTTGCGTCTTGGTCTGCGTCTGCTCGCTGCCTTTGAAGAGGGAAAAGAAGCCGGCAAACGGACCGTTGTTTGTTTCCTTGGCACCCTCGGGGCCGCTCTCGTTGAACGGCGTGGGCACCGACCGCAGACTCGCTCGATCGTCTTCCACCATGGCATTGCGTGGTGGCTGCGGCACCTCGACAGCATCCGTCGGTGCCGTAGGCGTGATATTCCCAGAGTGGTCGTCCGACACCTCTCCCTCATCTGGTGGTAGGAATGCGCTAGATCTCCTCGGTGTCGGTGCCAGACTGCCGCCCGTCAGTTCAGCCCAGCCGGCGCCTACCAGCGTCTCGACCAAGCCAGCCTCCCGTCGCGCCTTTTCCACGCGTCCCAGTCCTTGCCAATCCAGGAACAGGAGACAGCTCGTCCTCAGCGGCACGATACCATCGTTGACAACGTTGGAGTAGACCGTCCGATTGCGGAACTTCTTGAGCGCCGTGTGCGCGGGACCTGTCGGTAGAATCCGTAAGAGAGGCTTCGACTCGGGCTGCACCTCGCCCATGACCCTCTTGTGTGCGCTCTCGCCCAGGTTGCTGACGATGGCTCCCCACCCGCTCCTCGCAATGGTGGGCGCTCGCCACGTGAGACCGAGATCCTGACCCGTCCTGCCGACCAGGCCAAAGTCCAGGGCGAACTTGACGTACAGGGGGTTTTCGTTGCTGAGGCCGAGGAAGGGTGTGGCGAGGGCGACAAAGTTGATTGGTTTGATTATGGTGAAGAATTCTGGCGAGTGTTTTTGTATATATGCAACGGCGTATGTCTGAATCAGTCCCCCAAGGGAATGCCCAATGAAACTGATGCTGGTAATCTTGAACGGACGCTTTTCGTCCGACACCTTTTCGTGTATGGTGCTGTGCTTGTGTGCCGCCTTGCCGCTGTCTGAATCTGGTTTGTTGAAAACGGCAGAGACGGCGGTCTCTGCGTGTCCCTTCTTCGAGGGCAAGAATGGCTGGTCAGGGTACGACATGGACAGGATGAACCTAGCCAGTCTCTTACCCAGGTACTTGATACCCCTTTCAGTCTTTGTCGCGTTGCCCGAGAAGCCTCGCACAATGACCTCTTCGTCGTCACCGTCGTCTTCCGCAGGGCTGTCATCTTGGGTCTTGTCTCCGTCAGTGTCAGTCTTCTCGGCGCGCTCCTTGGCACGCCGGGCCTTGGCATCAATCTTTGCTTGTGCTACCGTCTGGTCAATGCTCTCTTTCAGGTACAGCATATCTCCCCCCAGGTTGCTGTGCAGGCCATGGGTGAGGACCACCAGGTGCACCTTTTTCTGCTTGATTTCGGGCTTTTCTTCCGCCGGCCTATCCTGGGTGACGACACTCTCCACGGGTTGGTCCTTTTTCGCGCGGCTCTTGAGGCGGTCAATGTTGAGGTCGTCCCAGCCCGGAAGCCTCGGGGTGTTCCACAACGCGGCTGTGTCCTCGACCTTGAGCCGTATCGCCTTGGAGAAGACGCCCTTCGGCTGCGCCGGATGGTGGCCGTCCTTGGCGCCCACGCTCTGCTGGTGATCGGCGACCTTGCCGGGCTGCGGGACCTGCGCCTGGCCGCCGATGACGGGCAGCGACGAGCTGAGGTTGAGCGACTTGGCGTCCCTCGCAATGGTCACCTCGTACCCGACGGCGGCCGAGGTGGAGAAGATGACCTGCGACGACACCTCTACGATCCACGACGCGCACTCGGTCTCGGTTTCCCCGGGTTGCCCGGATGCCCCGCCGCCGCCGCCGAAATGTGCGCCACCTCCGGTACCCGCGCTCTGCCTTATGTGCTCCGGCACAACCAGCTCGCACTCCCACGAGCCGCCGGCCTTGAGCATGGGTTCGAATTCGGGCACGCCATAGCGACGAGGGTTCGCAAACTTGACGTTGGGGTTGAAGTTGGACGGGTAGGCGGCGGCGCCCAGCGTGTAAGGGCCGTGGACGAAGGCGGCGCGCAGGGCAATGGCCGAGGTGTTGCGGACACGCAGGTAGAGGCGCTCGGGTGAGGGCAGGATTCGGTCCTGGGAGGGCGTGTAGGTGACTGTGTAGCGGACGACCTCTCCGATCTTGACGCTCCCGACCTGGTATACGAGGAGCATTGTGCCGCCGGGGGGAGGGGAGGTGATTGTCTACTTTCGGTTCGTTGTCGACGCCGTCATCTCTGGGGGATTCGAATCGGGGGATAGAGTGAGTTGCTGAGGGAGTTCGAATTGAGGGAAGTTTCGACGAGCTGTAGGTGAAGAAAACCGCGGATGGCACGGTTTGGAGCTCAGGAAGTTTTGATACGTGTGAAAGCCGATATCGCGTGAGCCGTCTTGCTTTCGGAGGCAAGGGTTAAGGAAGATTCGAGCGGGCATGTGAGGTGTAACCCGAGGTAGGATGATCCAGTAGAGGTCCGAATAGGTGCTGTTGTAATGGAGGGTGTACTTTGTAGACTTTGTAGGTATCCGAACGTGTAGGTAAGATGGGGAAAGGAGAAAGACGATGGGCAATGGGGGGGGAAGAAACACGGAGCTTGCGGTTGGATGGCCCCCGGATAGTACAGCTGGCACGAGGTAAGGTACGTTATGTCGGGGTTCCAGGTTGAGGTGCTCAAAGTAAAAAGGTAGGGCGAAGCTTGCATAAGGGTAAGGTAGAAATGGTAGAACTCCCCGACGAGATCGGCCAGCAAGATGCAGCGAGCAGCCCGAGAGCGATGGGCGCCGGATGGGCAAAAAAAGAGCACGAGAGGGATCCGGCAGACCAGGGACAGGGGTGTGCCACGGTTGCGTGGGTGCGGTGCGGTGCCAGTGGGTGCTTCGGTTTGGGTGTCCCCGCTAAAGAGCGTACAGCACGCACAGACAACGTCAACGTCATTGCCAATTGGGCGAGGGCGAAGCCTTTTCGGCAGCCCTGGGTCCCCCCCCCCCCTCTCTACCGTCCCAGTTCTTCTTTCTACAGACAACAAGCGAGTGCTAAGCTTTCAAGTATCTTTCAACACTAACACAATACAATAGATACCTCGTCTACAACCCCGCTATGCCCGCCTCGAATTACAACTCTCCGAGACCACGAGTCCACCTCACACGACGTGCTCACTCTCGTCGCCTCATTACACAGCAGGGTCACTCCTCGCAAAACTTGGCGGGCCTCGATGAAGTTCAGGTCATCGATTACACTTGTACTGTCCTACACGGCCCTTTGAGAATGGTGAGATTTGTGAGATGGATGAAATGTACACATGAGGCATGAGTAAATGGATGGCAACTCACTTTATTCTCAAATCAAGCTCACGACTCATGGCAAGCAAAAGTTGAGAATGCCATACTTCTCTCGACACAGATTGTCACCAGTCAACCCCCCCCCCCCCCCGCCAAGGCCGCAAGCAAAAGAGATCAGTCCAGCCTAAAACCCCACCGTCTGGGACCTTACACATGCCTAATTGGAGCTGCCTCGTACCAGGGTGAACCACGCCAGACGCCCATCGATGGAACATCAAATCGACATGTCCATTGGTAGGGGGGTCTCATCCATCTCCAACGCTGCCCCAAACTCTCTTTTGCTGCGTTACTCAACCACCGAACCTGCGCCTCACAGAGTCGACAGCGTTAAGCATCAGAAATCCGACGTACCGTACCACTCACTTCACTCTACTAACTCCCACCTTAGACTTTTCATCACGGACGTGCGCTCTCCTATGCGAGTACGTCGGGTGAATGCAACGATGGGTCGCACCACATCTCATCTCATCCCTCCTCAGTGAGATCGGGGGGCATGTGGCATCACATACGAAAAAAAGTCACAAACCAGGTAGGAACACCCTGACACGTGCCTGAGCTGGCGAAATAAGCCCGTCAATGCAAAACCACTCATCCACCGCCCAACGTCCACGTCACGAGCCAGCCAGCCAGCCAGCGGGGAACGGGCAACTTGCAACGGGGAACATCAACATGAACCACACACATACAAACGAGTCAGCCAACGCCTCAGTTTTCCAGGTCCAAGGTCCAACGCAATGAACCCAGTCGCACAACCCCGGACCCAAGTCCGTCAAAGCTTCAATGTCTCTCACAGATAGAGTACCATACCCACACACGAGCATCTTATTCATAGGCCAACTAGACAACGAAGTGCATCAACAACACATCAAAACAACAGGGTCAAGACATACAAACAATCCAAAAAGAAGCACACAGAAGAAACTCACAACGCAGACATGCCCATAATCCAAAATAGGCATCCTATACGTTCCGTCCCTCCTTGGCTCCCGACATCAGACGGCCGCGATCCGAGCAAAACATAAAAACTCTGAACCACCGCGAACCGACCGAGGCAAGAGAGTTCACATGAGAAACGAGCCGAGCCAGCTGTGCTTTACCCTTGCTTTGCTGTACTGAGCGAGCAAGGCAAAGGCAAGGCAAAGACGAGTCACTGGGAAACAAAATCCAGTGTTATGCTTCGTTAAACCTTCGTTTCGTTACTACCTTGCCTATAATTCCCCGAGAAAACCACGCCGCCCTGAATACCATGTTCCATCCCGAGGATATATCACGCCTTTAGTATTACATGCATAAGTAATAGCCCCCCTACCATGAAAAAATAAAGCAGACAGCCTCTTCCCCCAACCCGCAACGTGCAACGTGGCCGGAAAATTCGCAAATCATAAGTCGTGCTGTGTGCTGTGTTTCGCTGTTTTTCTGTTATCTGTCGTAAAACCAATCCTCTCTCATCTGCATCACGCTACGGCCGCGTGTTCATCCTCAGGCCTACCAGGCCACACGTAGTTTCGCCATTCATACACCCGGTTCACGCCGCGGCCAATGCCCGTGAGCCCGGCGAGCGTCGACGACTTGGGCTCCTCTCGCATTCGTCTCCGGCTCCGGGGGGTGTGCGCGTGCGCCGCCGCCTCCATCTCGTAGTCGTGTATCATCCGCCCCGGCGCCACCCGCTCGGACGGACGCATCGATCTGACGCTTGCGTACAACTCCTCTTCCATTGTGTGCCGTCTCAGCATCGGCAGCGGCGGCGGCATCGGGGGCGGCGGCCCCATGGCCATTGGTCCCATCATAGGAGGGGGAGGACCCATGATGGGAGCTGTCATGGCCGCGAGCGGTGGCAGTGGCGGCGGCGCCATCATACCCGGCCGGGGGCCACCTGGACTCGAACGCGACTCGGAGAAGCGCTCAGCCAATCGCTGCCCCAGAGGATCCTGGGGGAGGCCTCTCGCCCGGTTGACACCCGACATGTAGTCCGTTGGCGGCGGTCGCTCAAACGCCGCCGGTGGCGTTGGCGCAGGCGGCACGGGTGCGGATGCGAATACGTCGGGCTCTCTGCGATAGTCTTCGTCCAGATAATGGCCCGCCGTGTTGCCAAGGCTCACGAGGTCTCCGTACCCTCGGTCATACGCGTCGTCGAGCTCGTACGTCTGCATCGTCCTCGCGAGGTCTTCGTCGCGGTTCTCTTGGAACCTCCGCATCAGTCTGTTATCGTACTCTTGGGATCGCGAACGAGGCGTCGTGTGCCCTACGTCGGCTGATCGGATGCTTCTCGCGCTTCTCGGGGTCTCGGTGCCCAGCCCCGGCCGCTCCATTCGGCCCATCGCCAACGGCAGATGCATCTCGTTAAGCCGCTCCGCGTCCGCCGTCTCGTAGTTGAACCAAGGGCAATCGCAGCTCTTCCATTTGGTGCCGCACACCATGCAAAACTGTGCTCCGCAAATGCTGTTCTGGTCAGCAGAGACATCGCACGAAAGAACCAAGCTGCTCTTACCATGTCATGTGGTTGCAGCCCTCCTTGAGCTCCACCATGTGATTGCACTTGTAGCACATTTTCCATCCTTCGCCCTTGGCGTGGTCCAGAAACCTCGTCGTCTCTTCGTCACTGGGACACTCCCTCGACAAATGCCATTTGCCGTTGCAGGAGCAGCACACTTTGGCCTTGCAATGGCCGCATTTGGCGGATTGGCGACCTCCCCCTTCATTGCGGAAGTTTTCGGGCTTGATCCACGCGCCGCACCTTCTCGAAGGGCAGTAGATGCGGTTGGCCGCTGTAAACTCTGAGAACTTTCTATTCCACTTCTTCTTGAAGTCGGCCGAGAACAAGTGGTCCACGTGCTTCAAGGGTATGTTTGCGGTACAGCACTTTGGAGGCATGTGCTGTGGGTCGGTGGTGGAGAGTTTAAACTGTCTTCTGAGGCACTGATCACACATTCGATGACCGCACTTGAATTTTGCGATTCTACTCGGCTGGAACTCTTCCATACACGCAAGACACTCGACCCTGGGTGGTGTTAGCTGGTGCGGACATACGGCTTCAGACGACCCACCTGGCTGGCTTCTCTGACGAGCGGGAAACGGTGCTCCCCGTGAGCACGTTTCCCACAAAAGTAGACGGCGGCCTATTCGACGAGGTCGTGCTTTGCGTGTGCGACGTGACATGCGATGCCCCCGATACGGTGTTGGAGCGGCGGATCGACCGCGTCTCTGGGTACACAACCTGAGACTGGTGTCTCCTGGCATGCCTACTGGGAGTCACATCGAGACGACCCCTATCCGGGAGTATCTCGTATGCCAGCCTCTTGGTGGCGCTGGGAGGCTGAGAGATCTCGTACGTTTTCGCCGACGAGTGATGGCGGCTTGATCTCCTCACAGGACTATAGGAATGCTGTCTGGGGTAGTGTCTCTCGGACGTTGGACGCGAGGATGACGGGTGGGAGCGGTGTCGCGAGGACGAGCGGCTGAGGTCGCCCAAGGATTGCCGCGGCGTGGGCTCCGTAGAGCCGTCCTCTTCCATGTAGATGATCTTCTTGATCTTTCTACGGCGCTTTGGTGTATTGTCGGCTGAGGGGGGCGTCCGCCGTTCGACAATGGTCTGGGTATGGCGTGCTGCCTTTTGGTACCTCTCCCGCGCCCGCCTTTCTCGTTCTCGCTGTGTCTCCCGCTTCTCCTCCTCCGATGAGTCGCTCGTTTCCGAGTCCTCATCCGACTCTGACTCCGATTCAGACCGCGAATATCTCGACGACCGCCTTGACTCGTAGACCGGCCGTGTCCTCGACCGAGGGGCGGTGCTGCGGCTACGGTGTCGAATGGATGGCTGCTGCTGCCGCCTGGCTAGGGGAGACTCCTCCTCACTGTCGTCCTCCTCTTCCTCTTCGTCTTCTTCGTCGTCGTCATCGTACGAGTGGTAGTCATTGTTCACCGGGACCCTTCCCCTTCTATACGGAGCACCGGCTTTTGGGGTTCTGGGCATCGTGGCTCCGGGGGTGGGAGGCGCACTGCTGAGCTTTACGATTCTTCTCGGTGGCGGTCCCAAGGGCGAGGGCGAGCTCGTGCTGTCGGGCCCTTGTATAAAGTCTCTGGGTCTCCGGTAGGGCATCGGGTCGTAGGCGGACTCGGCAGCGACGCTGGGGTAAGGGATCGGGTGCCAATCATAGTCGGTCATTTGCGGCGGGCTGGGAGGATGCCGCCGACGGCTCGTTCTCCTGTGCAACTCTGCGCCATCTCGATAGGCCATTGGGCTGGGACCAGCCTCATCCGGGAGTGCGACGAGTTTTGAGGGTGGTGGAAAAAGGGGAGCGGGAGCGGTAGCGGTAGCGGTAGCGGTAGCGGGAGTCGGGAGTCGGGGGACGTGTGGTGAGGGTCTCACGGCCTTGGATCTCCAAGGTCGGTCTAGTGTCGAGAAAGAGTGTGCTGGTGTGCTGCGTTCTGCGTGCACCCTGACAGCTGGTTGCTCGTGAGTGGGTGGTTTCAATGCATGCCGTGGAGCGGTGATTGGGCTTGAATGGCGGGTTGCATATCGGACATGCACACGCGCGCCCTGCTTTTTTTGGTTTTTCTCTCTCTCTCTCCTGTGAATGTGTCCTGCAACTGACGACGGCAAGCCGCGCGACTCGTTTGCCTCGTCTCTCGTCTCGTCGGTTGGTGCCCCTCGGTGAGGTATCAATCGGGCAGCAGCGGAAGCTGTTTGGTCGGACGGGGGAGACTTGTGGATATCGAGAGGGAGATATGTTTCGATGGATCACGGCTCGAAGGATCAGTTTAGTTGGATCGATCCCATATGCGAGAGGGCTGACAGCTTGACGCAAGGTCCGAGTGAGGTGAAGGAGAGCAGAGATGGAAGAGAGAACACAAGAGACGATAGACAGAGAGAAGTGGACGTTTGTGACAGCCCGGCAAAGACTCACCTTCCAGTGGAGGTCTCAGGAGTCATTGAAGAGCTGCCACTGGAAGGAACAGGGCGCCACCGAGGCACAGCGCAACCGATTGGCCCCTATTGCTGGCGGCGGGGGTGGTGAGCTTCACCTTACGCTTCCTCTCTGTATTCGCTCCTTCATTCACATCCAATCCCGAGTCTACAACAAGATCCAATTGTCTCTGCCTTTATCCGCCTCTGTCTGACTCTGGGCTCCCCCCCTCTTGAATCCAAGAGGACCAGAACATAGTAGCCAGTAAGTTTTCAGTTTGACCCGCCCTCGTGTTCAAATGGACCGGTCCGCTCGTTCGTTCGTCGCGTTCCAGCCTCCCACCAAACCACGAGAGTCCCTGCACCGCCGTCCTGACTCCTGGTGTCCATTCCGTCCACACGGGCTAACAAGCGTCTTACAGTCGTCCCAGCTAGCGGCCAGTCCGATGTGCGCCTACAGCGCGGGAGCGGCATGCCTCTTTGACAGCCCAAACCTAACCATGAGGCGAACCTAAGCCAGCCTAACGGGGAGGGTGTGTGTGGGTGGACTGGCGGCAAGCTAGCGGGTGGTGCAGCGGCGCTGAGCCCTGTACTCAGCGTCCCTGCAGGGGACTGCCAGCCACCGTTTTCTCTCAACCTCACAGTCTCACCTCAGCTGCCTTACCTAAGCTCGCCTACCGCACCCGTACCTCGCACCCTCAAGCGAGGGAACCGCCGCGCTCACCGCAGCATCAGACCTGAAGCGCACGTGCCTCAGCCCTCGCATTCCACCGCCCAACACATGTCCACAGGGATCCCAGCCCGCGGCAGCGTTGCCGGCCCAGCACACGGACGCTGTGATTTGGCCGACAGTCTCATGTCGTGAAAGGGGGGCGGGGGGGCATGCACTACAGTTAACATTGGCTATTCATGCGTCCAGGATACTCTTTTCTCGAGGGTCTACATACTCCTGTACCCTAATCACGAAAAATCTCCATCGTCTTCTTCCCACTGCAGGGCATGCTGGAATTGGGGTGTCTGATCCACTCATTTTCGGCCGGGCTACGAAAAAAAGGTAGATCGGAGCTACCCACGGGGCCGATTGGCGCAGGTGGGGCCGACCCGGACCGTTACGCCCTCCCCCGAGTCATTGGCGTCTGCAGACCGCCTCGACACATCGGCCACTAAACGACTAGTTTTGCTTTTTGCTTTTTCTTCTTCTCTTTCAGTGACTCTCGATTCATTGATTCAGCCTTGGCTGGCGAATCGTCTCGATTCTTTCCTAGACCACACATCCACACCACCAAGGCCTACCAGATATCAGACCGCCTTCCCTCCTCACCCTCAGGTCTCGTGAAAGGCGGCATCCCTCTCCGTGGTTTCAAATCTTGCATGTGCCTTGTTATCCTCCGACATCGCTGTCGTGCTACGCATCCCACTCCAGATGGACAGAAAAGAAAAAATTCAAACCCCCTAGCGCCGGGCAACTGGGCAGAAAAGACCAAGACGCTTCGCATCCAACACCGTTCTGGAAAGACAGACGGAATCGATTGGTGGATCCATCCCGTCTTCTCCTTCCCTCGCAGCCAGGAACCCTACCCCGTGACCCCGTCCCATGCAGCCCCTCCGATGGCCCCGCCCCGCCTACCGGCAGATGCGGTACTCGTAAAAATATGGGGGCCATTTACACGGTGCCATCCGGCCGCTGCGGTGCCATCTGAATCACATACCGGCGGCATATCAGCCTTCAACACTCCCCTTGTGGCGCTTGAGCGAGACACAGCGCTGCGGACAGGGAATTCATTTCACTTCTCAACGCCTCATACTGACCACGTACCTAATACCACGATGATAACCAAATCCCATTTTGATTCGAAACCTCGCGTCAATGACCTTGAACGCCTGGAATGTATGCTGCGATGTTCCATCACGAGCAGACACCCCCATCACCAGCGCAGACAGAAACCAGCCACAGCACCGCCGCGTGACCGTAAGCCCCCCTTTCTAATGCCCCTCAGTCGACAGTAACCATGTCCGCGGGGGCAGACTGAGCTTACCCCGCATAGATGAGTCGTTGGGGTCACGTCCAAGTGTGCCCGTGTGCCTGTGAACGAGTCGCGAGATCCCGCGCAATCTAGGTCGAAACACATCGACCTTCTGCATTCAGGACGTTGCCGCGGCCAGGTGGTGTCGAGGTCGAGGTCAAGTTCAACGTCTGCAGCTGTAACGCAGGCCAGATGGTCACATTCGCATACCCACGGATGCATAGATAATTGGGACCGGCTTTGCCAGGTACAGACAGGAAATGGGGTATTTCTTCATCGGCAGTGCTATGTTGTACAGTTACTATGTCACCACATCTCGGCAGCCCTGTTCTTTGGGAGCCAAGTCCCCGGGCCAGAGAAGTGTACTGTCCGTCCTCCTGAAGACAACCCATGGCAGGCTCATATAATTCCAGAACCGCCCAAAGTCAAGTCTTCTTCCTCCCAATCCGTACGTCTTGGAGTCGGTGACCCCAGCCGCTGAGTACTGCCGCTGTCAGACTTGTCCGTCAGGAAAAGTGACAGCATCTCGCCTCTTTCTCTCTCTTTCTATCCCTCGGGGGTCGGCGGCAGAGCCATCTCGAAATGGGTTGGCGCCAGGCTGGCTCATTGGCTGTGTGGGTGGACGTGCCGGGATTTCGGTCCGAATACCGTGTAAGATCAAGTATTACCCGCCAACCAAGCCACGCCAATTCGCAGGCCACGTCCAACCCTCATTTCCAGATGGCGTGACCCCGGATTTCTGTCTGCACCCCAGATGGATGCCTCCACCAGCTCAGTGTAGCTTGCACGCGATGCCGCCAGTGTATGCCTGCTTTCCCGATCAAACGGGTGGCGGGGCGCTCGATGCAGAGTCGTCAACTGAAGGCCGTCAGCAACGTGGAGCTGGAGACTGCCGCAGGTCGCATTCTTGAGATGGATGGCCCGCTGCAGACAAGTAGATCAATTCGAATAGGCGGGCGGGCCGAGCGGCTTTCAACCGCTCAGGTATGCCCTCCTTCGCACTTCGGCCTCCTTGATGATTTCGGCTGCCAGGCTCAGACTCGGGGCCAGTGTCGAGTATCGCTCGATTTCCATGACCACGTCGTTGATGATCTGATCAATGGTTTCCCTATGGGGAACGAGGGTGAGGAGGATACTACTCAGAGAGGGTGACATGGTCGCACCCATGACCAGTAGTGTCTGCGATACGATGGAGAGCGCTCCCTGCCACAGGTACGGCATGTGGCCGGCGTGACTGCGGCGAGTTAGCGCCATGACAAGACAATGATTCAGCACTTGAACTTACTGTTGTGAAATGTGCTCCAGCTGGCGGATGGAGGCTTCCAGGCACTTGTGGCAGCTGTCACGCACCGCCGGGTCCAGCACGGCCTGCTCGTTGTCCAATACGGCCAAGATGTACGGACGGTAGATGATCGTCCGGCAAGCAAAGAAGCGCAAGCGCAGCACGGTCTGCACCGGATCGGAGAGGAGGGTGCGGGTGAAGGGGAACTGCAGCGGCATCGGCAGGCTCTCGTACCATTGCGTCAGCTGAAAGTCGAGCTCCGCCACCACCGGCTCCAGGCTGGTGGTGGAAGCCATCGAGTCTTTTGAGTAGATGAGCTGGCTGACCCTGTTGAGGAGCCGCCGCAGGGCAATCTCGGCGAGGAAGTACCAGAGGTCGTCTCGGCCAATCGCTTCTTGCTCCTCGCCCTCGAAGCCGCCAGGAAGGCCGACGTTCTCCTCAAATTGAACGACGCCCGAGTGTGGCAAATCCAGCTCGGCCAGCAGGTCGCTCTCGAATAGTAGTGAGTTCCAGTAGATTCGCTCAGTCAGCTCCCGCTGGTTGGGCGGGACTCTGTTGGGGGACATGAGCAAGAGCTGGAGTTTGGTGCTAGTGGTGCAGAGCAAGTTCCAGGCCTCCAGGGGCCGCACCAGGTAGAACAGATAGGCCGAAGCCAGCAAGTGGCACTGCGCCGCCAGGACGTTGTTGGACGTCATCATGCCGGGCAGCAGCGCCCACGCGGCCGTGAAGTACTGCAGCCCGGGAGCGTCCTCTCCAGGGACGATGCGCGAAATGCTGCCTCTCAAGCTCGCTTGACCCAGGGCCAAGACCAGCAAGACGATACAGCTTTCAGCGCCCTCACGGAAGCCGTTGGAGAGGGCCGTTCGGTAGTGGCTCCTCCACGTGTACGGGTTGACGCAGGCGTACCAGACGTTGACCCGCTCAAAATAGGCCTCGATGTAGGCGGTCGTGTTGGACAGGTCGACACATGGCGTCTTTGTGAGCGAATGAAGAGGCTCGCGGGCCATTTCCAGCTGGAGTAGGACTTGCGGGTCATACGGGCGAGAGACAAGGTCGCGAATAAGAGGCCATTGCAAAAGATGAAGTGCCGCATTCGTGTGCATCTTGGGCATGGTTGATATGTTTGTCGGGTTGTTCCATGTGCCCAGGCCGCCGTTGGGGATGATGGAGACGGCGTTGCCTGAGCCTGGTATGCCCATTAGGCTGTCTCCGTTGAGACCTGATCCGTTACTCATCGATGGCGACTCCTGGTTCATGGCGATGCCGTTTCCCTGGCCGGCGACCATGTTCATCTGCAGCAGGCTTTCAATACGGTTGAGGCGCTCGAGAATCAGCTTATCTCCAGCATCCAGCTTGATGCCGGGCTCTCTATAGACACACTCGGCGCCCAGCTCAGTGCAGAGCTTACACTTTGGTTTTGTGCCATCGCAGCGGGACTTGCGGGAGCGACACACTTCACACTGTTGTTGATTAGCTCACGATATCTACCATACTGTTCGATTCACATACTGCAATGGTGGCCCTCCTCCGTGGATAGTCAACGCCAACGTCTGTGTTTCTCCTCTTTAGCGGGTTGGACCCCTCGTCGCTGGGCGCCGTGTGCATGCCATTGGTCAGAGCATCGGGACGGTTCTCGGAGGACTGAGACATGTTCCGGGCCTTTTGCACGGAACCTAGGAAACCATCTCTACTGAAACTGGGCGTTCGTTGCACCTTGAGCGAGGCGGGCGACTTGAGAGGGTGGATGCCGTTGGTCATTGAAGGTGAGGGAACGTCGACGTTGAAGGCCTCGCGTGACGGCACGGGAAAAGACCTCCCCGCGTTACCGTTGCCCGTGGCCGAACGCGGGGAGTCACCCGTCGACGACGGGGACATGGCGTGCTGCGTCTGGAGACGAAGAAGCTTGGTGGAAGACGTGGTGGGCAGATGGTGGTGCGCCGCGACAGCGCAGCACAAGACGTGTGTGGAGCGTCAGGTGGATGTCTGAGTTGAAGCGGCGACTGGGCGGGCTGAAGGCTGAATAGGTGCGATGCGATTGCGGTTTGCGAGGCTGGAATCGACAAAGACCGGTCCGGTGCGATTAGGTTTGGCTGAACTGGGGGATGTGCGTGACTCGAGGCGAAAGGTATCAGTCAGACCAGGCTCGAAGCTATCGAGGCGGCGTTTCACAGTTTCTTTGGAGGACCTTGGAGGAGAAGGGAGCAGACGACGGAACACAGAAAGCGAAAAGAGATGAATGCACGGCTGTGGAGCAGTAATTATGGTCGCGGAGGCGGAGGAGGGGGGGAGGGAGAATAAAATGCGGAGGAAGCAATCCTATAAGGAACCTAGAGGGCGTTGTTGGCGTCGGATGGCCAAGGATGGGCAGCAAGTCGCTATTGAGAAGGACTTTGAGTGCCCCCAGGTGAGCAGACGGAAGCTCTAGGCCAGCTTCATCCCCCTTTGCCCCGGACCCCGGCTTGGAGTCGTTGGAGCGAGAAACCATCGGATTGGTGCACCGTGACAGTTACCCCATCCCGCAGCGGCAGACATCAGGTCAGACCAGGCCAACCAGAACTGACGGTTGCAACGGGCATGGGACGAAACGGGCATGGGATGGGATGGGATTCGGGGAGAGGATGAGATGGGGAACAAGGGTCAACGGTGCACGCTAAGCAGAGGGGCCGTCGCTTGTACGTAGTAGTGTCGTCTACGGTCTGGGGCGGAAGAACCACACGTTGGTGTGCTGCCGGTTTGTCTGTGTTTGTCCATTATGGATATTGGAGAGAAACATGTGTTTCTTTGCGTTGAGAATTACCTTGAAGTTGAATTCGGTACACACATGAAAGTATTGATCCGTGCCTTAATTCCGTTCCGAGTTCATGGCATTCATGGGGGGGAAAGGGCCCTCAGTGTCGATCGGCCCTGCCAATCTGGGGGAGGGGCCACAACTACCTCGATAAAGTACCTTGACTTGAGGTAAGTGCTCCTGCCTGGGGCGGGGAGAAGTGAAAGTGCCTTCCTGCCTTATTTGGAGCGATTGAGGATATCTCCTTCCTCTCGTCTTTGAGTCTCATCAGCAAGTTCGTCTGAGTATACATGCACCTTCCTTGCCTCAAGACTTGCGATATCTGGCTTACTAAGGCCAGTGGGCATTTCGAACCTCCCTCGTAATTTCACACACTTCACATTGCAACCTCATCCATGGACACAACTCCATAACGAATGAATCCCGATCCCGAGTCTCTGCCAGTTGTCTGCCGTGTCACTGTGTGGCCCCAGTCTCCCCTCTCCGCCTGTACCTGCATGTCGACTCCCTTCGTCACGCTCACGGCTATTCGCACACTTTGACGAGACTTTGTCCAAGCAGGTGGCAGCATCCCTGTCAACCTCATTTCGCTCCCGCAACTCGAAACTACTATTTTCAGGTTCTAGAAATCCCTCGGGCCCAACCTAGACGACACCAGCTGTGCCGCTGTCAAAATCCCGGGCTGCGAGAGATGGTCTCCCACGTTCAACAAGACCCTGCCATGGTGCTCGACACCCAGGTCATGAGGGGTGGTGGGCGAGAACCGCCGGAACGTAGATTAACCACCACCCCTCCAACACCCAAATCGGGACGCTTCTCCAAACAAGATTGACGAGCTTCCGCCTCGGTCCTCATGCGATTCAAGGCCGGGATGTCACACAACACGTATCTTGCTGAAGTCTCGGTGTCGCTTGTTAGCTAACTCTTCACGAAGCTCGGTGCCTCAAGGAGAAATCGAACTGCTTCCTTCCATCAAGATCCGTCGTCTGCGGTCCACACTCCTCCGCCCAGGAGACATTTCCCCATCTTACGAGTTCGTCCCCGGGGGAAAATCCGGGGTCGGACGGGCGAACGGCCGGCCGTGTCCCTGATTGCGATGGATGCCCCACACTCTAAGTCCCTCCCGACTACCCGCTTCCGGGGTTCTAATTCGATACCAGACTTTACTACTCTATAGTCTTGCTGCAGGTCGACCGACCAGGCCAAGAAGAATTCCTCTGCCGTGTCCGGCGGAACCTTTCTCGTGTCTATACTGGTGGCGACCCCAGGATCATGGTGGCATTGAACCAGACTTTTTCTGTTCCGTTACTCGAAATGCTAGCCGCAGATGGATACCTTGTGGTGAGCAGTCTGGATTCGAAACCGATAATCCAATAGTACTGAGATGTACGACACGGAAACCTCCACGTTGACAAGAAAGGAAAACCGTATCCGCTCAATCATAGCACAACGGAACAAATAGACACTTGCGTTGCTTCGAGTGCCGGTCTGAAGAATGCCATTCGGCTGCGCTGTGACATTGCGCCGGCACTGATCCAAGTGTGACTTTCAATGTTGCGGTATCACCACTCCGCTCCCGCGATTCTAGTCTTATAAGTGACGTGCACATCACAAGGCACAGCCTCGCATGGACCAGGTCTCTTCCCGCCCGCCTCTCAGGTTCCCTTCTCATACAAACCTGCAGATGATGGCCCGCCCGGGGATCCGAGCTTTGCTCAAACGGGGCCAGTCATTTACAGCACGTTGGCTGACTTGCGAGCCGCTCTTCGGCTACCGGATTAGGAATCCGTCATCTTCCCAACTCGGGGTGCTGACCTACCTACGTAACCGAGGGGCGTTCGTGATTCACGGCGCCCGCATAAGCGAACAGTAGTTGGGTGTGCCATTGCTCAGTCTCGTTCCCGAGCCTGTAGTGTATCTCGAACATGTCAACTTGGCATCATTGAGGTCAATGTGCCCCCCCTAGGCTACAAATCAACGCGTTTTGATGACCAAGTGAGATTTGATTGCTATCTAACATCTACTCATGGTATAGAGCAGGGAAGGCGTTTACTTTCAAACATTTTCCAGCCGCTACGCTCATGCTAAACGCCTACTCATCGAAAATGACGGCAGTAACCTCGCCATCCACCTTGGCGCTGGTGACAATCTCCCCTAGCTTGCCCGACGCGGCATCACGGCTAATCACAACGACACGGCTGTCGGACTGCAGACCGACTGCGACGAGGTCGCCGGCATTGCTGACGGAGAACTGGCGCGGGATGCGTCCGCCGGCGGGGAACTTTTGCAACAGCGTGAGACCGCCCGTCTTGGCGTCAATGGTGAAGGTGTTGAGCGAGTCCGAGGGGATCTGCGCACCCTCGCCGGCGGTGTCGGGGTTGCTGATGCTGAATGCCGAGTCGTTACGCGACGAGACGGTCAAGAACTTGCCATCCGACTGCCTTTGTTAGTATCCGTTCCCAAGTTCTGAATGGAAGGACGTTGACTTACAGAAATCCAAATCTCGGCAGCGCTAGCACCGGCAGGCGCAGAGGCACCGGCGCCGTAGGTGGAGCCGGAGAACACCTCGGTGAAGCCGAGCGTCTTGTTCTCGCGGTAAGTGACGTCGTACGCGGTGACGGTGTTGGCCAGCTCGCTAACGAGGTACAGGTACGTCTTGCCCTCGGGCGTGACAAGGAACTCGACGTGACGGGGTCCGCTGCCGGGGGCGGCGACGAGGGGATCGACAGCCGCGAGGTTGTTAGCGCCATCAACAGCAAAGACGCGGACGAGATCGGCGCCCAGGTCGGGAACCAGGACGAACTGGCCCTTGGGGTCGAGGAAGACCTCGTGCGGGTGCGGGGCGTCCTGGCGCGACGGGTTGGGGCCGGGAGCCGACATGTTGAACGTCTCGGACTTGACCGCCGTCAGGGCCGCCGGGTTGGAGATGTCGAACCAGCTCACGGAGGAGCCGCCGCTGGTCAAGGTCAGTTCGTGCTCATCAAGAGACAGGAATAACATACTACTGAGCGATGGCGAGGCCTTGGCCCTTTTCGCCAAAGACGACGGCGCTCACGGGACCGCTGATGGTCTCCGTCTTGGCTAGCTGCTCCAGCGTTCCGTCGGCGCCGGTCTTGAAGGACGAGACGGTGCCGACGTTGGTGGTCAGACCCTCATCCGTGCAGAACAGCCTCGCGTTGGCCTTGTCCAGCTGGAGCCAGGACGGGCTGGGTGCGCAGCCGTTGGAGGAGGAGAGCGACTGCAGTGTGGACTGCGTGGCATTTGTGCCTGACAGAGTGAGGTTGAGGGTGGTGATGGCGCCGCTGTACGACGAGGCGTAGAGGAGGGTGGCGGCCGCTGGGGAAGAGAGCAGCAACGGCACGAGGCCGGCCGGCGCAAAGAGGTCTCTCAACATGCTGAGCAAAGACTGGCTGACGAAAGAATGTCGATGTTGGCAAAACAGCTGCACGGCGAGAATGAGGCACGGAACGAGTGTGACGACGGTGACGAGTGCGGACACGGGACTGAGCGAGAGAAGGAAAAGACGACGACGAGGTTGTCGTCTTGAACCTGAGGAGGAGCGAAGACGGCCCATTTTCGCGTAAGCCCCCTCAATGTCCCAGGGGCAAGCACGGAGTACTCCTCTGAATGTGTCAACGATTGTCGCCCATCGACCGTGGTTCCCCGGTCATGCGCTCACTGCCTTGGTAAAGCTCACACAGACGGCTGGGACCTGGGTTGCGTGGGCTTCGAAACGGGACCCGGTTGCCTGTTTGGGACGGCGAACGGGATTCTTCCGTGCTTCTGTGGCTAACCTTATTGTCTGTCTACTCCGTAGTCCCTACAGACTACGGAGTACAGCGTACAGACACTACAACGGCGGAGTAGTCGGAGTGCAGTTCGGAATTAGGGTGCGATGCGGATACTTTTCATAGAAGACAGGCTCAACCCTGGAGCGACGTTAGCAAGGTGATGGACTTCCCCTGTAATGAAAACGTCCGGCCAGGGGTGATTCACGGTATTTTCGGCTGGTACGATGATAGAGTTTGTCAGGGAGATTCAGGTTGAGTACCTCCAGACACCCGCCCCTTTCTCTTCTGTGCTGACCACCAAGGAGGACCCAAACGGCTTCCCGCTGCACGCAACTCGACGAACCGCTCCTCGTCTTTGGATGGCAAATGTTTGTGTCACACAAACTCTGAGAAAAGGGTGTCGAGTTCGAGGTGGAGAAGGTTACGTTGACTTCCACTCGTGTGCCGATGCGGAGAATGTGGAGAAAAGAGGAGGAGGAGTCGAAAAGGACTGGAGGAGGCGGAGAGGTGAGGGGGAACCACGGAGATACAGTTGACCAATCGGCGCTGCTTGTTGCGTTTGTGTGGGTTTCCGGTACGTCGAGATTCTTTTGTTCGTGGGGTTTTGAGAAATTTCCCAATTTGCGGTAATTTGTCCAACCCCCAATGAGACGGGACACGGTGAACACTGACCGCAGGCACGGGACGATGCCGGCGCCCGGTGAGGCCTTCACCATCCAGTGTGGCAGCACTGCGGATACATTGCCAGAAATTCATCTGCCATCCGACCGAGCCGTCGGCAGTCAGACGACCGTGCGCCTCCAAGTGACGCTTCACATCATGTCAGATTTCGACTGGCCAAAGTGCGAACTCGCATCATGGTGTGCCATGTGGCTTCCCCCGCACTCCAATGCAAGCCACGACCAACCTTGTCTCCTTCTAGCGTTCCCTCCGGCTTGCCGTTTGTGAAGTGCGGGATCGTCGTCGCACAGAAGCTTACTCTTGTTCTGCATGTCTAGGTCTGCCATGTGCCGGCGGGACTGCACAACACGGTGCCTGGATTGTCTATATGAATGCAGGCAAGGTACATATCGTATTCGAGGTCATCATGATACGATAACACAAGCCAGAGATGTGCGAGCTCTACGTCGTGGGTGACCGTCACTTCATATCATGGCCATGAGTGCCATGACCGCGCAGTGGACATTACGTGGAATTGGACAAACAGCAAGTATTCGAGCAGCAGGCCCTCAAGGTCATCTTGAAGTGACATTGAATGACGCACTAAAGAGCCCAGACTATAGCTTCATGCGGGGGGCGTAGCACTGTCCCCATACTCGACCAGCCCAACGCCGGTACCGCCTCTTCTTTGCCTAAAGTCGAAGCCAATCGAATCTGCGAGAGAGGGTCATCTTGTGGATGGTTATGCACGACTCACCTCAGGACCGTGGGCATTAGGAACTCCAAGCCGTCCTTCCGTGCCGTGTCTCTCGTGGGGCTCTCCTACTTGCTGTTCCGTGAGGCTGTCAATTTTTGCGTACCAAAGTTATGGTAAAGATAATCGCTGCAGCGCGGTCACTGTTATTTTTCTTTCTCAGGCTAAGGTAACTCACGGACGCCCATCCAAACGCTCTTATTTCCCATCCTTGGATCCTGTTCGTTGCGCCGGGGATCCGTCGAATCGAGGTGCATAATTCCAAGCTGCCATGTCATCAATCTGAATGTGTGCGCCCAACTTTTCCTTTCCAATGTTCCAGTAGCCAGGTCACTGATGCACTTAAGCCTTCTCAAAGGTTGTGGGAGTGCTATTTCCCTTGGAATGAGACAGACTGTAGGGTGCCTATAGATTGTCAGTTTGTGTAACGTGAACAAGCACAGCATCACTTACCAGAACCTGCTTCGCGTTGCAGATTCGCCAGGCCATCTTCTTGACGTTGCCGTCGGCGGGCACGATTGCGGGGGCGAATTCGATACCAAACATTTGGTGGATGGCGTAGACAATTCTCTTGGCATACTTGCTGTCCCGCTCGACGTGGCCGCCAAACGGCTCGTCAACAGTGGTGGGCGCGATATCGTGGTCGCGGTCGCAGCAGTTCTGCACCAGAGGCAGCAGGGCTTGCTCAACGGCCTTCTCGTACATGCCGTTGGCGTCAACCTCGACATCGTCCTCGTCAAACTTGCCGATGCGGATCTCAAAGGGCTGGGAGATGGTCATGACGTGATGGTTGCCGGCGTGGTGGTAGCGGAACTCAAAGACACCTTGAGTCCACCACAGTCGATCACCCTCGAAAATGACCTCGCCCTCGACAATGTCGGGATCCGACGCGTCTCGCTTCCGAGCCGGCCGGTCGGGAACCAAGATGGCCTTGTCGGCGGTGGCAGCATCGTAGCTGCCGGGCGTGGTAGGCACCCACCGGCCCAGGGACGACACCTCGGTCGCTTCTCGAGAACGGTTATCGGTAACCATGTAGAGTCCAATCCAGTCCTTGCTATCGTGCTTCGCGGGAGCGCGCCACTTGACCTTCAACGGGGAGCCATATTCAAAAATCATCGTCTCGACACCGCGGTGGAATCGGGCCGTCAGACCCTCCTTGCCCGTGGCACGCTCGTTGGCGGCCGACAGGCTTGAGGGCGTGCCTTTGACGGAGAGGGAGTAGAGCTTGGGGTCCAGGCCAGCCAGGTCAGGAGACAGGCGTGTGACTGTCAGACGAGCCGGGTACTTGTTGAACAGGGCCGAGGTGTCGCGGACGATCGTCTTGATGCCAGAAGCGAACTTGGGGCGAGCGGTATCGAGGAACTCTTCAATGAACTGTGCCGTGTCGTCAATGACCTTGTCGACACCGCGCTGCCAGCCCTGGACGGGCGGTGGCAGGGAACGTTTGATAAACTTGGTCAGGCCGGCTTCCTGGCGGATGCCGCGACCATATGTCTTTTGCATGTGCGGCTTCTCAATGAAGTTGATGAAGCCCAACGTAAACAGCTGGCTGACCAGAGCCATGACGAAGATGGCCCTGCTCCATGTTATGAGGGCAGAACCCCAGAGGCCAGCAGTGCCAAAGATGCGCTCGGGGTTGTTGAGGAAGCGGTAGATGGACTTGTACGTGAGTCTGGCGGTGGAGTCGTAAAAGAAGTCACCATAAAACCAGCCAAACTCGCCAAGGGAGTCGTACACGCTGATGAACGTCCAGACTTGAAGGGAAACGAGCCCGGCGCCGACCACGTGCTTAAGGAGGACCCAGCCGTACGCCCAGTCCTCTGGCGGCGAGTACATCTTCCAGCACGCGGCGATGAAGGATCCCGTGCACATGACGGAGCTCAGGTGGTACATGCCCTTCCACTGATTCCAGGCCTCGGTGTGGCTCTCGCCATACTTGAGGAAGTGTCTCGTCCAGAACTTATTGCGAGACTGCCACGCGAGGATGGCGCCCAGGCCGAGGTGGTACCAGACGCGCCAGAACAGAGCATGCAGCAAAAACAGGACTTGGTACAGCGACGTCGACGGGGTCACAATGGTCAGGACAGCCATGTAGAAGCCAAGCAACAGAACCGAGGTGTCTGTGATGCGGAACAGGTCGAGGTTGTTCAAGCCAATCAAGTTGTGCACCTGCGCAGGCGCCTCGGGCGACGACTCCTGGGCCGCGGCGGCCTGGTCAACCAAGATCTCTTCGTTGTCTGATGACTTGATGGCGACGAGCTCCGGCTGGCCGGTCAGCGGCGTCGAGGCAGTGCGCTTACGCGGAGCAGGCGGGTTGTACGTCTTCTCAATGTGTGGGTTCTCAACAACGACGAGGAAGGCGAACTGGGCGAGGTGGGCAATGATTGAGATGAAGAGGACCTCGTAGCTCGCAGCCATCATGGAGATACCGTAGTAACCGGCATAGCCAATGGAGTACATGGGATGCGGGGCCATCTCAAAAACGCCGTCAAAGGTCAGCTCCTGGTCGACAAGGTAGAAGAAATCACCCCAGTACCAAGCGTAGTCCTTGACGACGCGGTGGGCGTCCAGCTTGACCCAGAGATTGAAGAGGACCAAGAGGATGCCGATGGACCATCGTCCCACGCCGACAAGAGGGTTCTCGCCGGCGGGTGTGTGACCGCAGATCACGGCAAAGAGGCAGTAGGAGACAAAGTCACACATCAAGATCAGATCGACGACACGGCGGAAGACTAGCCAGGTGTTGTACTCCATGGGAGCTTTCTCGAACTCGTAGTCCTCGGGGATCTTGGCCTCGAGCTCACGCTTCAACATGTTGTAGAGCCAAGGGCGGGGCTGTTTTCCCGAAGAGGGGTGCTCAAAGAGCTTCCATCGTAAGGCCCACGTCTCCAGTCTGCGGTGATTGGACTGGATGGTGAGGAGGTATCCGATGCCAATGTTGTACGAGGCTCGCCAGAAGAGGAAGACGAGGGCGAACAGGGGGCGCTTCAGGTTGCCGGGCACGAAATAGGCCGCAACAATCTGGAGGGCGAGAATGGCCAAGACGAGCACATCGGAGAGGTTCTTGGGCTGTCTGGGATCGAGCAGCTGCGACACCATGTCGTGCGTGGTAGGGACGGTGAAGACTAGCAAACAATCGTCAGCAGGCAACAACTAACTGGCCTACATCACAACGAAGCCTACCTGTGCCATCGGGGGTTCGGCCAAACGTCTTGTTGGGCTTTTGCCCCAAGTCTTTGGACTGGTCGTCCGCGGCGGTTGAGGGGTTTAGATCATCCTTGATACCAGCCGCGGACGTCCGCCTCTGGCGCTGACGCAGAGAGCCAGCATCACTTGCGAGGGGCGCGGCGGAAGAGCTCATTCTAGGCCGGGGCAGTAGCAGCAGCGTAGCAATTGACGATGCCGGTAGAGGGGTTTAGGTTATTTCACACGCAAGGGGGTCGGTAAGGGCGTTGTGCGATGATGATTCTGTTGCTCAGGCTGTCCATGAGCCGCCAGTGTCAAGATTGAAAGTGGGAAGGTTCCAGGTGAGTTTGTATGCGCGAGAAACGCAGGAGCGGAAGCAATGCAAGAGTTCAGGCGGGAAGAGGAGAGGAGAGAGAAGAGGCGAAGAGGCAGCAGAGATGTTGGGAAAGAAGGACGACGTGGAAGAACGTCACAGACAAGGGTTGAGGGTGCAGCTGGAGGTTTCCAATGGGAAGCAGCGTTGCGCAAAGGAAGGTACTCCGTCCGGTAAGGTGAATGAACGGCAAGGAGGCACTTGCCGCACTTACACTGTACAACCAGCCCCACTAGTCCGGCGGGTTAGGTTTGGTTCCTTCTGATTTGGATTGGTTTGAATTGAGAAAGCCCGCCCGTCCCGCAACTGTTGAATTCGTCCCAAGGGTCGCTTTTACTCGCTACTTGGCCTATGTACCGTGGGGAATGAGGAAAGTACACTTGATGAACTTGGCATGTGATCCGCGGGCAAACGCAACACTCTGGAGTGAAGTTGAGCATTTCAGCCGCCTGCGCGACTCAGGACCGGCAGGAGCTCTTGAAGATGCAGAAGGTCCAATGGAAGGTGCCACGGTTGACATCCGACTTACATGTTGCTTCCTGCCCTCTTGTAGTACCTACGCAACCTCACCTTGAGGTAAACATTTGGTGAACAAAGAAACAAAGCTTCCGACCACCACTGGCACTGTACGGACGGGTCTCAGACACCGCTCGCACACGTGTAATTACTGGTTGCCCTAAGCACCCCTGCGCAGGGTAAGGTGTTGAGAAGGGAAAGAAAAATCCTTCAACCTTCCAGCGTCTTCCCTTTCGTTCGAGCGGGAAAGCGCGAATGCGGGAGATGCAGCAGCGCCTTCTTCGTGCCTGTATACCATTGGTACCTCAGGCAAGAGCTGCAGAGCGACCTACCTTCCTCTACAAGTCTACAGCGTGGGCGCGCCACGGCTAGCACAGGTGCGGGGCTCTTGCCTACGGTTAGCGGAGCAGACGGACTAAGCCTAAAAGCCTCTAGCGTCGCTGTGCTCTGAGCGCTTTAAGCGAGGGCCCTCGGACGCTCGGGCCAGCTAATGTACAAGCTCACTTGGGATCATGCACGTGCCGATAGGAGACCTCGACGATAAGCTTTGAATCAACAAACATCACAGTATTACAGGGCACTTTGACAACAAACCAGTATCGATGATGAAGGGCAACACCGCAATCGAATCAGATGACGATGGTGTGTAACATTGATCAAACCCGTCGCATCAGCAACACTCAAGACCTAGGCTGTTCAAGCTCCAAGCGGAGCCAGCGAAGAAGACCACGACCACAGGGAAACACCCATCACGAAGTAGAACGACATGAACCCTTTCCATCAACATCCCTTCACCCAAATCACGCGAATCCAAGCGCGCCACGCGTTTTGATTCTGTTGTCATGCTACCAAAGACAACGCCCGCGGCCATTCATTCGCCAAGCGGCTCCCATGATGGAGGCATCCCTGGACGGGTGTCCGGGGTACGCCGGTCGTTTGCATGAACTTCTAGAATGACTACCATCAAAACACAACCCACACCACCAGGGGCCCTTTCTGGGATCTGGATCAAATCAAATTTGTCGCGTTTTTTTTTCGTTATGGACTTCGGAATCGGTAGTTGTATAAAGACGAGCCGGAAGAGTCACCGGCCCTCCTCTGTTGTACGAGTGATTCTTGCTCACCAAACAGTCTATAGTGACTTTTCACATTCGTTCCATACACATACAAATAAATAATTATAGCCCTGATCAATACCAAAAATGGCCCGCGAAACCCCAACGTCCTCCATCGCCGGTGACTCAAAGCCTCTCCCCAAACGCCCCGGCACCTCGGGCACGGAAAACCTCCTCAAGACGAACCGCCGCCAGGCATCAGACCACTACCAGCGCGCCCAGCGTGCCGAACGTGCCTACCGCGCAAAGAAGCGCGCCACCGCCGCCCGCGCCGACCTCTCGGATGCCAAATCGCACTACGCTGAATGCTTCAAGCACCTCAGCCGCGGCCTCGCCGTCACCCTCAGCGCCGTCAAATCGCTCCCCTACGTCTTTGACGAGCGCCAGGAGGCGAGCCGCCAAAAGGCCGAGGTCAAGAAGAAGCAGCGCGCCCTCGAGAAGAAGAAGAAGCTCGAGGAGAAGCTCGCGCGGGAGAACGCCGAGGCTGAGGCTGCTGAGGGCGATGCCCCCGCGGATGGCGATGCCCCTGCTACCGAGGAGGAGACGCCCGCTGCTTGATGGACTATTCGCAGAGTCGAGTCGATTACGTGGTTAAAGGGGATCAGAGACTGAGGTTCTGATGGGCCCTCTGTGTGATGGGTTCCCTCTTCCTCGCCGCTTAGAACTTGCTCTGCGACGGGATCCTCGCGCCGGCGCGATAACGACATACATCGACCAAACAGCTTCATCGACAACCACCAGATCTGGCAAACAGACACCTCTCGTTCTTCGTCCTCGAGGCACCCACACTCGCTTTACTTTGTCCACAAGACACCAAACCATACCAAACAACCCCCCCTTTTCCTTTTCTGTCTACATCTCCTACTACTTGTATCGTCTGTTCGAATACACTTTCACGGCCTTGAACGAGATAATGATGACGGAACCAACACGAAGACGGATCTCTTCCCTTAATACACAAATTTCTACACCGACGGGGAGTCTCGGCTATACGTGTTTACATCCGGCGTCTTAAAATATCTACTTGTTTTTATAATCATTTGTTCCATCTTCATACCAATTTCCTTTGTCTCTGTCTACGACAATGTGTTTTTTTGCTTTCGAGTTGGAGAAGAGGAGCCGAAATGGAGTCGAGTCTGGGTTTCCCATCAGATACCTGCTTTTGCATTAGTTACAGAAATTCAATCGTCATTATGCTCAACATCAGTCTTGTGAACCGTGATCATGTGGAAGCTGTAGTCCTCACAGTGGCTGCATCGCCGTGCATGGTGGCGTAACAGAGTCCCGTGAGATCATGTCTTTGCATTTCCCATGAAGAGAGAGAAAATAAAAAACGAGGGATAAAAAAAAACTACCGTTATCCCCAAAACGGATGCCAAAATTTTGTAAACCCGTTGTGCCGTAGCCGTGTCTCCAGTAGTAGCATCACAACATTCGTTACCGCGACCGCCATCCTCATCCTCTTCCCCATCATCACCCTCCAACTTAGGCCGCCTTCTTGGCAAACTCGACTCTGAGAATCAAGTGCTTGAAACCGAAACCATCCATCTTGGCCGCGGCCTTGACGGCGTCACCCCGGTCCGCAAAGCTGATGAAAGCAAAGCCCTTGGCCAATCCCGTCTCCCTGTCCTTGGCGAGGAAGACGCGGGTGACGCGTCCGAAGCGCTCAAACATGTCGCGAAGCTCCTGCTCCTCTGCCATCTCCGAAACCTGTTTACGAGTGTCAGCATTATCATCATCATCACCACCAGCACGCCTCCGTCGTCAAAGACAGATGCTGCATCATCATCATCATCATCGGGGGTACGCACGTTGGTGACACGCAGCGTAGCAAGGTCATCCCGCTCGCCGTACTTGCTGCCTCCCATCCTATCACCCGCAGCCGAGCCGCCAGCCGCACCAGCACGCAGCGCCGGCGGGACGTAGCTGCCCTTCTTGGCACCGGCACCGCCAGCGCCTCCAGCGCCGCCAGCCGCGGGGGCAGGATCGTCCGGCAAGCCCGCAGCGACGTCGGCGCCGTCGGCACCGACGGGCGCCATGGTGTCCTTGTACGGGCAGCGGGCCGTGAAATGCTCGCCGTTGCAGATACGGCACTTGACCTGCTTGTCCTTGAGCTTGTCCTTGAGGGCCTGGGCGCCGGGGTCCTCGCCCGCCTCCTTCTCGTCCTTGCGCCAGTTCGTGCTGGGGCGGAAGATGATGTTCTCGCCGACCGAGGTGGTGTCGGGCGCGGGACCGGCGGGATCCTTGGCGCTGAGGCCGAACTTGGACCACGTCTTGCGGTCGGCAACGCGGGGGTTCACCTTTTCGGTGTGCGTCGTATAGCGGATGCGGCGGGTCATTTTGACCTTTTTGCCCTGGTCATTGTAGCGGAAGGTGATGATTGTCTTGGTGCCGTCCTTGTTGCTGATGGTCTGGGGCGCGGGGAGCTCGGTCGACGTCTCCTCGACGTCTTCGTCGTCGGCCCAGTCGTGCCTGGATGAGGGGGTGCGAGGTTAGCTAGCTGTTCTCTTTTTTTTTATTTTTCTCTCCTCTCTCCCTTTCGTTCGGATACAGTTGTGTGCGGAGAGGGTCGGCGTACTTGGTCTTGGGCGTAGCCATGTTGGGCAGTATGATCTTCTCGTGTACGTTGTGATCGGATCCCGTTCTCGGTGTCGGTCGGATTCGTCAGAGGTTTTGCAGTCCTGAAGCGGGTTGTCGCGATGGTCAAATCGGTGGTGGGGTCCAGAACTGGAGGAATTTTGATGTTGATTGATTTTCGTGGTGCGCCACCGGAGTTGGTGTGGGGCAGATGGCGCTAAGCCCCTTTTGGTCTCGCAACCGTTGCCTCAGCCTCACAGCGTTTTGGCAACAACACACGCACTCCAGATCGTCTCACACTCATTGCAGTCTTCTTGGTTCATCAGATATCTCTTTATATTGTATTGCCTCAGAGGCATAGTCTACTGCTACAAGTCATACACTGCGTCATCGAGCCCCTCGCAGGGAAATCTATCGCCTTCTCCCTTGTCATCCAAAATCAGCCGTGAGAGGCACGTTCACCGTTGAAAAACACTCCGAATGCCGTCCAGATGGCATATCATGGAGAGGGCGCCTTTTTTTCCAAAAACGCCGATTTGCGCAGCAAAGGGTATGACGCAAACAACAAAAAATAATCAAGAGACATAGGAGATG